CTGGTGTCACCGCGTTACTATTTCTGCCCCCAACCAACAAACTCTGCAGATGTCCTGAGTGCTTTAGTCAGCGGAAAACAGCGTTTTCACAACAGGATTATTTAGGGCAACAACACATTTTTGTAAAAACAAAACCTGGATTCCTATTGGGGGGGGGGAGGGCGAGCGATGACACCGTGTGACACAACCTCTGGCGCGGCGTCGACAGATATCAGTGGCTTGGAAAAGGGACAACATGGCAGAGTCTTGTTATTGGATGGATTCCGTGTGAGTCAGCGGAGGGAAGCGCAGCAGATGATCGCTAACGCGGATTCGGCGTCGCGACGTGCTGACGGCTGGGAAAGGAGACGTGATGCTGCACAGCGGCTACTGGAGGAGAAAGACGCTGGACAAAGACGGGAGACGATCAGACGGCGTTAAAGTCCCACGTGTTTCACGACGCAGATTTCTACCAAACAATCTATCTCAGGCTTTGACTTTCAAGATAAGGGCTGATTTAAACACTTATGTGGGAATAAATGGGAGAAAAGGATTGAGTGTTTTGTAGTTTACAGCTTAAACAACCTGTTTTAACTGTGAATTTACCCTTCAATGTAACATCTCCTTTTAAATCAAGTCAGAACCGGAGTTCACACACAGCGGGAAAAAAATACTAGATATGTTGTACTGAAGTACCACTCGTTACTGTCTTTTGTAATGACACGAACATTGTGCAGGCGAAGACGTTTGTTCTTTGTTTGTCATTATTTCAGGCTGAAAGGAAATAACTTCATTAGCTGGGCTGCTGGAGCAGAAGGAGACCGACACAAGGAGAGAAGGAGGAAAGCGAATGGAATAAATTTGGCAGAAGCAAACTTAACACAAAGAGTAAAACGTTATTGGAACCGCAAAAATCTAAAATTAATAATTAAATCCTACAAGAAATATTCAGTAATTGTCCACGGCCTGGGCCCCCCAATTATTATTTATTCATGTTATACATCATTATAAAGCTCTTTGTGTGCTACTCAGAATTTCCATATTTGCATATATTTTCCCACTGCGGCGTTAGATGGCAAAGGTCAAATTCTGTGTGGCCTCAGTGTCATCAAAGTTTGCCTGCTACGTAGATTACAGCCTATAAGCCTGACAAAGATACATGACGGTCCTAACCCGGCTCATGGAATAAATACAAATATCACAATACAAAATAAGGGAGTAGGGAATCTGAAATAAGTCACATAAGTCAAACTGAACGTCAATCCACTCAGTAGTTGTTGAGATATTTCATTCTGGACTTCTGGACATTCTGGACACCGACATTCAACAAGTGTCTGTAGTCCCCCGTTGGTTCGCACACAGCTTTTTTGTGACTCTATTTGGTCAGCAGAACAGTGATATCCGTGGTATCTGTAGCAACCTGTCAATCACTGTGTAGATATGTGAATTACCGTAATAATTGTAATGTTCAGTCGTCAAGACGTAAATGTAGAGCTAAATGTAGACTCTACATTTAACATTTAGATCTAACATTTACATTTATATTTAACATTTATATTTAGATTTAACATTTAGATATAACATTAACATTTAGATTTAACATTTAGATATAGATTTAACATTTAGATTTAGATTTAACATTTAGATATAACATTTAGATTTACCATTTAGATTTACCATTTACATTTAACATTTACATATAACATTTAGATTTAACATTTACATATAACATTTAACATTTAGATTTAACATTTAGATATAACATTTAACATTTACATTTAGATTTAACATTTATATTATTTAACAACTTTGTTACTGCCAAACATCCTTGGAAAAGTTATTGCATGAATGTGCATGAATTTCTCTCTAAATGTTTGAAAAAGTGACATGTGAATATTGTCGTGCTTTTTTGTTCATATGATAATGCTAAATGTGGAAAAACTGCGCAGGATTTTAGAACGTGCAACATTTTACAAACGGCGCCCCATATGTAGATGTGTAGAACAAAGTAGAGTTTTCTCATAGACGTCTATTGGGTCAGGATTCTTTTTCCAGGAAGAAGAGTCGCCCCCTGCTGGCCACTGGGAAGAACAGAAGTTGAGTAAACTGTAGCTGGACTGGAGTTGACATTGTTAAACAAGCTCTTTGGTTGCAGTGGAAAGGACATTTCCTCTGAGTGAAAGATTGCTGGAAGGACTCTCTGTGGTGTATGAACGGCTGCCTGTCTGAGACGTCCACCCACACCTACAGCTGAATGGTCCTAAAAGACCTCGACAGATCCAAAGGAACGATGCAACACGTCTGCTCGTATGGCAACATGGGAGATGATTTGTCCTGCAGCGTTCGTTTGTGTGTAAGCTTTGCCTGAAGGCTGGAACGGTTCTGCCGGGTCGAAACATGAAAGACGCGACCGGACAACTGCAGGAAGGGAGAACCTCTCAGCTGGAGGAGACACTGTTAGACACACCAAACGAAAGTCCACTGCTGATGGTTTTACTGATGCATAGTTTCTCCAGCGGATGTAATAGCTCCCGGCCCACAATCCGCCTGGAGATACAAATGACCCGGCCGAGCAGGAGGAACAACTGCTAATGGAAAAGGATAAGAATGAATATTGGAAGGTCTCTTTGTGTCAGTCTGGGATGCTGAACAAACGCTCCTAAAAGTCTGTGTGATTTATGATGTCACTGCACGCCGGGTCTTCTGTTTGCTTTCGCGGCTCGGAGGATTTAGGGAGCGTGGTGCAAAGTCTGCCGTCCGGATAAATGTTCTATGAAACGTGACAAAGAAAATGTTCATTGGAGATTTTTTGATGATGTGAAATTGGGCTACTGAATGTTTTGAGTTTTCCAAAGACAAGGACACAAACTCTTAAGTTAGAACGGAGCACGTTGATGTGTTTTATTTATTATTAGCCTGGAACATGCATCCCTCCGCCGCGTTTACCCTTCTCTCTTTCCGCCTGCTTGTTTGTTTGTTTCTATTCCTCCCGTCTGCTCCCATTTGGACTTTTGCCTTCTGCTCTGAGCGTATTTCAAAGGGTTGGCTTTTATTTAGCCTGTTCTCTGCTTTCCGACACACAGACACCAGAAGCGTGACAACGAGTCGTAAACTCCAATAAACTCTTTTATTTATCACAGGAAGCAGGAACCTCTGAGTCCAGCTCAGTTTGGGGAAGCGGATGCTTTGACAAACTAGGATCCGATCCCAGATCGGTCCATTCAACTCACGGTTGGAAGTTGAAAATGTAGTTATGGATTGTTCAGGATTCCCTTTAATATCCAAAGCAATACTGCAGCAGCAGGACTTGAAAAAGTCAATTTAGACTTTAGTTCTCCTCTTCGAAATGATTCCATGTAAATGTAACTACCTAAAGAAAAGGGACTCACCCTAAAAACCGACATGACTTCATTTCCCCTTTATTTTTTTGGTCCGTCACCACATTGAAATTCTTTATTCAGCCTCAGATTCTCTCTCTTGGTTTCATTTTTTGGTGTTTTATTAAAAGTGGAGCTGCACTCATGCTGATGCGTATCAGTGTTGGAGCAGAGAAGTAAAATGTGAAACGGTGCGAGCAAAAGCCACACTGAGGCAGAAGAAAAGTGCTCTTTCAATTATTCTTATAATTGAGTTTAGATTCAGAGATTATACGAGCAGCAGAGCATTTCGCCACACGATGAATCGGATGATAAAGCATCGCAGACACTGGTTTTATGTAAGACTTGTGTAACATAGTTACTCTGTTTTTGTATTTTACTCGATCAGAATCAAGCTGACTTATTCAAGAGGAATTGGGCGAGATGTTTAATGAATGATTCGTACATGTAACCCCCCGACAAGTTGAGCTCTTTAAAACCGTTTTGCTCTGCTCCAGATTCATTCCTGCAGGTCACAAACCCTGACTGGTCGCTCACGCGGTGGAAAAAGCGAGAGCACGACTCCTCGGAGGAAGTCGATGGTGCAACGTCTTGCCGTTTCCACTGGAAAGATTGTGCGCATGCACGCGGAGTGGAATTGTGGTCTTTGGCAAATTAGATCACGGCTCGGCATGTCAGCGCTGGAGATATAAGATCACATTCGCTCCCCGCGGCAAGCGCTTTTTTTCGTGACTGAAGCGGCTTAAGCGCACTGGAAAAAGCAGTGAATGGCATTTCTTGGCTCGACGTATTAAAAATGTCTCTTCTGCCTTTTAACACTGTGTTGGGATTCTATTTCAATACTGGAAAATATTCCATTTGTTTTGCATTTCCTAAAAAGGTAAAACTATAATCAGTGCAGCAAAGGGAAAATCTGGACAAAGAGTAAATGGCAATTACCCAACAGGTGACCGTCACGTGTGTTTCTACTTCCTCTCAACCTGTAATTTAAGCCGACTAAATAACAGCTGCTCGGCGCGTTGAAAGGGAGCCCAGTGGACGTGTCCTCGTGTCTCCTCAGTGGACGTGTCCTCGTGTCTCCTCCGAAGGCCAGACTTAGCTTTACAACGCGAGTTGCGCTCTTTTATGACGTTAAATAAAACAAAGGTCAATTGCAGAGTCAAAAAAAATGGAATTAAATCCAGTTAAAGTGGTTTTGGCTGGTGTGTTTTTACCGATGCACGAGAGGAAAGAGTGAATATTTCTTACAGCAAATAACTGATATTGCCTCATTTTCTGCAGGTTACAGTGGAGCAAGAAGTATTCAGACATTTTACCGTAAATATGGTAATAACACACGTGCAGTTAAAGCATCACAAGTCTCACATCGTGTCCCTTTAACCAGTATAATTCACAGACCCGTTGCCTAATATAAAAGTCTAAGATGTCGTTCTGAAGTCGTATGTTATAAAAGAGATTACAGAGCCTTGTGCTTCTCTTGCCTTTCAAGTGGTGTTCGCGCGACCACGTTGTTGATTTCTCCGTTTAAAAAAAAGAAAAAGCCCATTCTCACATATTCTAAAATAAACTTTACGCGAATCCACACCGGTCTTCAGAGGCTCCGTGAGGCGGTGCTGCTCGGGACCGAAGCCCCCCCCTTCTTAAAGTGACGGAGGGGCTGTAATTTGAGAGGAGGGGTATTATTAGCCTGAAGAGAAGAGACGTCCAGATGTTGCGTTCGCGGCGCGGAGCTACAATCAGATCCCAGCGTGTCTCCCCGGGCGGGGATGAAGCGGCCGGCTCGGTTAACGGGAACAAGTCACCCTGTTTAGGAAAAGAAGGAAAATACTTTTTGGTTGTAATTTCCATTCTTTCTTTTTTTTTTTTTTACAATTCGGACGAAGAGGATATTGACGTTTAAAGCGCGTCGGGGATCAAACGGGTCACCTTTTTTTTGCCGTCGGTACAGCCGGAGGTGGTTGGGGGACAAAGCGGCACCATGGCCCCGCTCCGCTGGCTCCTGTGCGCCGGCGTGCTCTCGCTGGCCCCGTGCGCAGCCTTCTTCCGCGGACCTCTCCAGCCGGAGATGTCCAACGGCACCTTCCACCACTACTTCGTGCCGGACGGCGACTACGAGGACAACGACGACCCGGAGAAGTGCCAGATGCTCTTCAAGATGACCGACGAGCGAAAGTGCGTCCTGGACGAGGACCGCGACGAGGTGATCCGGGACGACTTCTCCATCCTCAGGAGGCACGTCGAGGACGCGGCCCGCGTGCTGGAGGGCATCGGGAGGAGCATCTCCTACGACCTGGACGGGGAGGACAGCTACGGGCGGTACCTGCGCCGGGAGACCACGCAGATCGGCGAGGCCTTCGCCAACTCGGAGAAGTCGCTGCTGGAGCTGGAGGTGAAGTTCCGCCAGAGCCAGGAGAGCGAGCTGAAGGAGGAGCACCGGCTCAACGACGACTTCCTCAGCATGGTGGTGCACACGCGGGACGCCCTGGGGGACACGCTGGACGTCTCCGCGGGACTGAGGGACAAGCACGAGCTGCTGTCCCTGGTCATCCGCAGCCACGGCACCCGGCTGAGCAGACTGAAGAACGAGTACATGAAGCTGTGAGGGAGAGGAGTGGATGGAGGAGAAGGAGAAGAAGAAGAAGAAGAAGAAGAAGAAGAAGAAGAAGAAGAAGAAGAAGAAGAAGAAGAAGAAGTCGCATCAGGGATGGAAACACACGTTTAAAGGGCCAGTTCAGCTGAAATACCGATAAAGCATCCAGTTCTTTGATTTGAAAAAAAATAACTAGTCCAAACATCTTACATTTTACTTCACTGGTATTTAGTTCTTGCTTTTCTCTCATCTTTGCTTTGTTTTTTTGTTTTTTTTCTCTGTCAAACAATCGGAGCACGGTGGCGTGTTTTAGGCGTGTAACCTCAGATAACCTTTGGCTTAATATGTCCAGGTCATGTGCAAAAAGTGGAAAGAAGGCAGCTTCCCCAAGGGCCCCCTCCCCAAAAAAGCCCCCTATATTCACTGCTCTTGAACTGTGTTCTGGTAATCTGGTGATTTACTACTTGGTTCTGGCATTATAACCTGGGCGCCCCGCCGTGTTTCGCAGAAGTCTTATGCAACAGAATCTGTTGCATACCTTTTATCGCTGTAGTCGGTTTTATACTCATGAGGTCAACAGAAGACCAAAAAAAAAATGGATGAAAACTCCATAAATGTTCTTGGACGGATTAATGGCTTTCATTTCTGTAAGGGATACTATTAAAAAAAAAAACCTGGCTTTATAAAACCAGAACGACCTCTGTATGAACTGCTAATGGTGAGAATTGAGTTGATGGTAATCTAAAGGAAGCCTTCCAGCCAGCAGATCATCAGGGCGAGAACAGGGGCCTTTCTCCACAACCCGTTCAGTCCTCTGTGACCGAACGCGCCGAGTGACGAGGGACCTCTGGGGACACTTTGGACACATTTGCACCGCCGGTGTGTCGGCGTCCGTGTTCAGCGGTGAGAGAATACGTGTTGGTGGTTTATTTTCCGGGCCGCAAAAGTAGGACGAATGAGTTTCGCGTCGCATTGAGGGTCGGTTTTGTGTGGTAACCGTGACGACGTTTCAGAGAATATCCAAGAGTGTTTACATGTGGACACCGATGGTATTTCCTTTTGTCTGCTTCATCCGCCAGCAGGACAATTCTTTACGGCGCTAAAGGTTGTTTGACGTGTTTACTCGATTCCGCACAGGAAGTATAATCTTTAAAAATGTACAGTGTGATATAAGAAGTAAGCAAATACTGTGAGTGCCAATATCTTTATAAAAAAAACACATATATATATAAAAATATATATTCATTGTTTATGTAAAGTTATGAAATAGAGCCGCATATATACATTCAACTTTTTTTTAAAGATATGCGGCGAGATGTAAAATCTTTGACGGATAAGACTGCAGGCAGCACTCGCCGGGTTGTGTTTTGTCTTCTTAAATAAACAGTTTGTGTTTGAAGAATAGTTTTGTGTTTGTTCGTCATTCAGCTCCTCTAGTCGCCTCCCAGGTAAAGGCCACATTGAAGCATTTCTCGTGGGGAAGAAGCCCGGACTCCCCTGGGAGGAGCTCTGCGACTGCACGTGCTCCATAATTACAAAGCGCCCCTTCGTGTTTGCGCTTTTCGGGTCTTTGAGGTCTGCTGTGGACGAAACGTACGGAACCTCTCGCGGTTGCTCTGAAGCGAGGAAGCGAGCTGTCGGTATTTACGAGGAGCCGAGGAGGACGTCAGGAAGTCGAGTTGTGGCGGCGCGACTCGCAAACAAGGAGACGTGTTTCTCGTGATCGCTTTGGGCCTAAAAAAGAGGTTGCGAATGCGGCTGAAGGCCCGAGGTCAGAGGACTTTAAAACGTCGACACTCCTGGGGAAAGCGCCCACCGGCCTCAACGACGTAGCATTGCAAAGTACAGTGTGACGTTCTCCACTTGATACTTTGAGCCCACTGACACAAGGACACGTCAAACAAAGCCTTTGACCTGCCATCCGTGGGCAGGTCAAAGGTTTAACATTAACCCTTTGAGTATAATTTACAGGTTGTTAGAACAGTGTTTAACCTCTGGAGGGTAAAACCAGCACATATAGAAGTTATTGACATGTAAAATGAAACAGGTAATCGCATTTTAATTTGCCACAAAAATATAAATCAAGATGACAATATTTAGTTGTGAAACACTGGATTCCAGAAATGACAGTTTTTAGCATTTAGGTTATAATCTAATAATAATAATAATAATACAATTATAATATTAATAATAATTACGCGGGAAAGTGGACCGCGTGCTCAGTCAATGGTCCGTTGTTGTTGTTATTGTTGTTGTTGTTAATGACTGTGTGCACACGATTGTGGCAAAGCAGACTTAGTTAAACCTCACCTACCCTTTGAAACTCCCGTTGTTACTTGAGTGGCCGTGACTCGGGTTAATTATTGCCAAATTTAAGCCATAAAAACTCCACCTAGATGTTGGCAAGTGTCACTTGGACAGAAGGAAGGTTCTGCACGCCCGCCCGCTGGACCCAGTGTTCATCTTTCCAGGTACCCGTGGAGAAAAAACCAGCAAGAGGTATGACGGAACACCAAAAAATGTCACTTGTATTATTTTTATTATTTATTTATGTGTAGATATATACAAATACACTTTCTAAGGGACCACGTGGTGTCCTAGAATTCCTTATTTTATGTAACTTGACAATCAGTCCAACACTCAAAGACATTGCGCTTATTAACAAAAGCTGCCAGTGAATGTCAATGCCAATTAAAAACAATTCATAGGTCTTCAGAATATCGAAAAATATTTTTTTAATTGTCGGAATAACTTTAATTAAATGACATTTGTGTCATATCAGCGTTATTGTAATTACGCAAGTTATCTCATTCATCCATCGAATGCGGTGTAAAATGTTCCCTTTGCTGTAAAAAGCATATTTAAGGTCCCCAGACTCTTTTAAAAAATATATTATCTTTTTCTGCATCGGGGTTATTATGTGCTCAGTTGCTCATTTAGCAGATGTTGACACGCTGGAAGGGCAAACTACCTGCTGAACATTGAATCACCATGCCAACGTCACCGTCCGTTACCCCGGCAACGGCAACGGCAACGGCGGAAGCCCCGTCGCGAGCGGCTCCGGCGATAAGCCGCGCTTCCGGCTGGTGCCGGGACAGTAGCTCGCCGCGGGTTATTAAACACGTGCGTGTTTGGCGTAGGACCGAGAAGTGCAGCGAAGGTTACGTCATCCCGCCGGGTCAACCTTTCACCTACTTCCCCAGACCTACCCCCCCCCCCCCCTCACTCTCTCACAGCGGCGTCTGTGTTGTTGACGGAGGCTCGTGGGGAAGAGGAACCCTCGGCAAAATATAACACACATAGATACACAACAGGTAACACGCGCGTGTTGTGACAGTTGTTCCGGTGTTGCTTTAGTGCGCTGACCGCTAAACCCCGCGGCGGAGGACGGAAAGCCGCGCTGTTAGCGTCGGACCTGAGAGTGGGATGTAACGTTAGCTGCATTTAACGCACAGTACAACTGACGTTAGCATAGCTAACCGGTTAGCTTCCCATGGGAAACTCTTCTGTTACCCCCTTTTTAATTGTTTTACGGTGCAGTTTGCGACGAAACGTCAGCAGAGTGAACAGCAAACGTGTATTTATCAGTAAGGTAACTAACGTTACTCTCCGGGGGGACTTAACGTTGCCTTTCACCTATTTACGTTTTAGTTTTTTCTTTGTTTTTTAATGTACGCTAACCCGTGACGTCATCAATGACTGACTTCACCTCAAATGCTGCTTGTTTCAATATTATTGTTTGAACTTTTGGTAAAACAAGACATTTGAGGCTTGGGCAGGGATTTCAGTTTTCTTATTAATTATAATAATTATTATTATTATAAAAAAAATTAGCAGATTAATCAGGAAATTATGTAGTCAGTTGCCCAGGTTTATTATATGTTATAAGTACAGTACATATTATAAGTACAGTGACGTGTTCAATTAGCTTTAATACGTCACTACTAATGCTGCCAATGTGATTTATATACATCTATGTATTTTGTACACCTATTTCTAATGTTACGGCTTTTCTCATTAACCGCACAGTTGGTGTCCCTTTGCGATCCGGAGACGTCGTCGGCTGAAATGTGGATGAGTACATTCTGGCGTCTGGCCCGGCCCGCCCTGCAGCGGAGCACCTCCGCAGCGGCCTGCCGGGCTCTGAGGGCTTGTCGTAGACCAGGACGCTCTGGCCCGACTTCAATGCAGCTTCGCGGACAGCAGACACTGGGGTCGGCCTGCGTGCCTCTGGCTCAACACTCCGTGAGGACCGTCCGGGCTCTAGACGAGGAGCGGATGGTGGAGGTGGAGTGGGAGGGTGGAGGCCACAGTCTGTACCCGTTCACCTGGCTGAGGGACAACTGCCAGTGTCCGCTGTGCACCCTGGACTCCGCTCAGGCTCGGAAACTGTCGATGTTGGATCTTGACGTCCACACAGGACTCGACGCGGTGGAGGTCACCAATGACAACAAGGTCAGGGAGCCGCCGTTGACACGCTTGTCTGTCTCAGCATAAGAGGTTACATTTCTGAGAAAAAGAGCCTGAAGGATGTGAACATTTGCCTAAAGTAAAGGGGTCCATTCAGGGCGAGCTGCAATGGTGGGCGACGTGGCGGCTTGTGTATTTGTGTTACGATCCTATTTAAAATTCTGGGGAAGAGAAGAGACACTTTTCCACCCACTGCGAAAACAAACAGCTCTCCAAATATTGAGCTTGGAGGTTCAAGATCCCGGAAAATTTTTACGCAGGATGAGGTTTGCAAATAGAATTGGATTAAGAGTAGAACCGACGTTGCCATTGAAATCGATCATTTGACGATTCGATGTGTACGGTTAAATAGTAAGACGAGCAGTAAGGTTACGTGACGTACGTACCTGCAGACTTTTTTCAAAAGCTGTGACTCTTCACAGTCCCACTCTGACACGACTGTGTCGTCACCATAGCAACAATCAGCATTTTGTCAAATCCTTAACAGCAATTATTTTAATCATGTGCAAGTTGTTTGAGTATTTTGATTTTCCCATCATCTTAAATGGAGGAATTCATGTCAGTTATTACATAATTGTAATCGTAGACATTTCATAACATCACCGGGAGCCGTAGAGAATTACTTTCTCTGCCAAACAATTTATTTTTTATCAAAAATGTAACGCACCATTACTCTTGAAAACCGCACTTACACTTTGAGGGCAACCGCCTGGCGATACACTGAGGCCATCTGATTTTGGCAGGAGCCCACGTTCACTCTGACCTTGAAATGCTCCGAATCAACCCGATCTGCATCGCTCAGAGGTCTCTGAGATGAGACGAGGCCGTAAACACAGAGCGCTGACAGCTACTGTGTGTCATCAGCTTCTGTCGACAAGAAATGAACGCAATTATGTTCCCTGTTGCAGAACCCACTCCATTATCACGTATTATGGTAAACATGTGTTTCATGTACCACAGTAGTGTTGGCATGCCGGCTGTATAGACAGGCTCATAGCTGCAATGGCCAAGAAAACAAACACAACACGTAAGAATCCAATCTGTTCACTTGAAAAGAAAACATTCTTTTAAGTGTATTTTTTATCCATTTGTTTTGGATTTCTTTCATATTCTGTGGGGTTTTCAGCTGAAGAACGTGGCTAATACTTCATCCAGTGCAGTTAGTGGCCGCGTGGGCTCCGTGGGCGCTCTTGACAGCGTGACGGCGTAGCGGCGAGGGGGGGGGAGGGCGGGGCTCAGCGAAGGGTCATTCGGGACCAATGCGTCTCTTTACGTCTCTTGACAGGTGTCCGTTTTGTGGCCCGACCGGCACACCAGCGCGTTCGACGCTGACTGGCTGAAGAGACGCTGCTTCTCCGCTGCGGCCAGACGAGCATCGAGAGAAGAGCTTTTCCTCAACCGTGAGTTCAATGAGCCGTTTGAGAATCTAATGGGATGAATAGAAGACCGCCACCAATACTTGCTAATTGATTACCAGGTTGTTGATCAGATATATTCGATAGGAGGCCATAAATCACAATGCAGCTGCCTGAGAATGAACAGGATAAACAGACACGATTGTGCTTTAGTGCATTTTTAAAGCGGCACGTTAGAACCGTAATTTGTGGCCTCGGGAAGCAGCTCATGTTACCTGTACGTGAACGCAAACAAACAGGCCCATTGAAACTTGTCACGCTTTCCATGCAGCCGCACCTTGCTGGGTAAGAACGTTGTGTTTCACTCTCGATACTCACCTTTGTCAATCCTTCAAAGCTGCGTTCTCTGGAGCGACTCCTCTGGTCTCAAAGGAGTCTGAGAAGTCTACTTGATTTATTCCCTCAGTAATCATTGTAAACATGAGTTTATGGTATCAATGTCTAGTTTTAAGTCTTCTTCAACACAACATTATGCTCATTTAGTAAATAAAGATCTATTTAGAGTCAAACAGACCATAAAGAAGGGTATGCTTTAGGGCGGGGCCACCTTGTGATTGGCAGGTTGCCGCTACAACGTCATCTGGGGATTTTCCAGCGTGTGAAGTGGACAAACACTGGTCAGCGGTCAAGTTGTTTTCCGTTAATAAAAGTTAACGGTCACATTTTGGTTCTGCTTGCGTCAGTTTTGGTTGGACTTTTTCTTTTCAAGTGCCAAACCGGAGGCTTCAAAATTCTCTAAATGAAGTGTGTTTTGTGCTTAATTGTCAGGATGGGGCAATTAAAAGAGAATTATATTTGGAAATGAAATATTTAAACACTTGGCTCATGGCAAAAGCTGAAATAGATTGTTTGTGGGGGGAAAAAAAGCTTGTTTACGGGTGTTATGTAATTAAGAAGCAGCTCTCTCTCTGTCTGTGAGAGACTCTGCTAGCCGCTCGCCTCCAATTCAAACTTTCTTTCCACGCATATTCTTTCTCAGTACACAACAGGGTTGTTGAGGAGGACGTTTTTTTTCTTCTTCTGCTTCTAAAGACTGGAAAGAGAACTCATTTTCCAGGACATTTACACTGACCCGCCGCCTTCGCACAGTCTGCCAAGCAGCCCGGCAGAGAGTTCAGCCGTGGAACAAGGTAGCAGCGTTTGAGCCGAGCGGGGGATGGACTGCAGTCGGGATCGTGTACACACACACACACACACACACACACGAGGTCCTGAAGGACCCACAGGGCTGAGTGGCTCCTGCTCCGTTCCACACTGATTACTGTAATGTGTGTGTGTGTGCTTTGCAGGACTAATACATTCATGTACATACATACATGCATGCATGCTTTTATATCGCGTTTGGACTATTCAGAATTGATTTTAAGTCTTCTATTTGTTTTTAAGTCTCTGCATGGACTGGTCCCACATTATTTATCCAGCCTTATTAATGTGCATCAACCCTGCAGAGCCCTGAGGTCAGCTGACCAGCTGGTTCTGAGCGTTCCTCGGTCGTTCCTCAAAACGAAAGGGAGACGGAGCCTTCGCAGCAGCGGCTCCCACGCTGTGGAACGCTGTGCGGTCTGCGACGAGCCTTTCCGCTTTTCAAACTCGCCTTAAGACCCACTTGTTCACATTGGCCTTTGGCTGAGTTAAGAAAGCTGATTGTTCCTGTAAAGCACGTTGGCCTTTAAAAGTGCTGTATAAATAAAATTGACATTGACATGTTGAAGTGTAAACAGATCCGCCTCGTTAGAAATGACAGACAGTCATTATGTGAAGTGCATTTAGTTCTTTCTCAGCTCGGAACGTCTTCTGCTGATGATCCCACACACACACACACACACACACACACGCACACACACACACACACACGCACACGCTCTCTATGTCTGGGATGATTATTTCCTCCTGCCTAAAATTCCTCGCACCAGAAAAAGGTCCACTTCTACGGGATGGATGCTGAGCGGCGTTTGCTGACTAACGTGGTCAGCGGTGGGCCTCGACTTTACAGGCCCGGCGAGCCTGTTAAAGCAGTGAGAGTGAAGATGAAAATTGGAGCTGTGGGGATATTATCCCGCCTGGACCGAACCTCCCACTTTTATCTCCGGACTAATGTTTTTTTTTTTTTCTGCTTTCCCCGTTTCTATGGAGTTGAGGAACTCAAACGGCCGTATGTAGCTCAGCGGCAGCTGTCATCGGAGGGAGACACGGAAATGATACCATTCCACAACACTTACTTCATGAACTACATCTGTAACACACGGCCTGCAGGACGGAACGTGTCTCCGTCACACTCAGACGGACGATCTGCATTTTAAATAACCTTTTCCTTCAGTCAGTTCCTCATCAAGCGTGTTGTCTTCTGGGACCAACGTCTCCAGTTTATTGTGCTGGAACAGGTGTTTGCATGTGGAGCGGCGTAAAGCAACGCAGCTCCTGAAAGGTGAACATCTGGATGCACGCAGGTCTCATTACCCGCCCCCCCCCCCCGTCTGCCTCCGCCATATGGAAAACTGATTTAAGAGTGCGGGTCAACAACGGGTCGGCCTGTTCTTACCCAACACAAGCTCGCCGTTGTCTGCAAGGAACGAGTCCAGGAAGGCCGAGCGCCTGGTGACGCCGAGGAGAACCAGCGGTGGAAAACGTCCAGTCACTACTGGATGGGTTTCTGTGGATGAACTGTAATAACTTGGAGCGATCCCCCCCCTAACCCGTCACACACGTCCTGTTAAACGCTGCCGTATGCTTCATTCGACTGGAAATGGACAACAATCAAAGAAATGGTTCTAATATCGTGCTGTATTGAATAAGAGCACCACTCGGACGCGTCAGCGTGTAACAATTAACCGCACAGTTTGTCATATTTCCTGAGCAATGACAGTTTTTACCCGACAGCCGCGTCGCGTCGCTCATGACCTTTTCTGCAGCGATTCTCACTTTGACCGATGAATCCGTCGGTGATGCTTCTCATATTTGAAGCGTGCCGTCGTCTCGGGCCTCCCGCTTTGCGCTCGTCGTGACTAATTTATTGTGATTGGTATTTAAAAGTGATGTGAAACAGGTCGAATGGACTTGTAGAGTTTGTTAGAGTCACTTTCTGAGACCCCGTTGTGCTAACGGGGTGGGGGGGCTACCACAGCCGGGCATCTGCCCCACTTTCACTCTTCTTTCTGGTTCCTCCTCCTTCTTATAGTTAGATCCACAATGAAGGTTGGGGCCTCCTCCTCCTCCATCATCATCTCCATCATCCGGCTCAGCCGTCTTCCACAGTGAAAGTGTGGAAGGAATGTGAGGAACCCGACTGGGTTCGGGTCGAGCTTCCTCACCGCACACAGACACGAGCTGCTGTAACTCCCCCACGGATCAACTACTTTGTGTTCGCGTTTAAAATGTCGACACCTTTCCCGTGAGGCTGCATGGAAAGCTGGACGCTCGCACCGATTGGCTCTTTGAATAATGCTGAAAGCATCGAGTGTAAGTTGGCAAAACGGACCACGTCTGACTGCTGCAAGGCTCAGTGGAACCAAAGCTGCTGATGGAGAAACGGGTTGTTGGATTAGACTGTGTGTGTGTGTGTGTGTGTGTGTGTGAGACCACACTGCTCACTGTGTCTCCTTGGAGTTTGGCTGCTGTCGTCACAGGTGTGTTTCACAGGTGAAGGTGCGCTTGTGGAATGAGTCGACACACACAAAATCTATTTGCAAGTGAAGCGCTTTGTCTGCTACTCACTCCCAAGAGCAGCGTGTGTACTCCTACATCACTGGATACTACTAATACACTAATAGTACATTAACGCATTGGTATCTGAGGACATCTAAGTGAAATCGTCTGTACGTTGGTGCAGCATGAGCTCGCTGCTGCGTTGAACCAGATGTGCGTCCACACGACTCATTTGTTCTTGTCTCCCGAGATCAACCCTGTTCACCACAACCATGAACAGACAAGAATTTCTACTTATGCGTCATCTCCTGCAAATTCACGAGCACCTCCTCCCCCAGAAGAACAAAACTCCAGACCAGTTTCCAAAGAGCATTGTAACATGTGACCGACCTTTGCTGTTTCTGACCCGACTCCCCCCCCCCTTTGACAAGCCTTACAAGCAGAGTGGGAGGAGTCGGGGGAGGGAGTGGGGGAGGGTGGGGGTCCTGGGTGGCTACTTAGCTGCTGCTTCCTGTGGAAGTCATTGCAGACGCCGCCTGGAAAAAAGCGCTGGAGCCAGCTGGCCGAGATGTTCTTTCCTCTTCTGTCTGTCTGATGTTTTCATGAGATGATTCCTCGGTGATCTTCTGCGTCTCTGAGGAAGCAGGAGAGCAACGGTTGAGTTGTAAAATAAAAAAAATAAAACCTCTGGTTAACCATTTCAATGTGTCCTGGAAGAAACGCCAGGTTCTACTATGACGAGGCGTCACGGCGGCGCTCCTCCGCCCTTGTGTTCTGATGAAGCGTCCCCTCTCTCTCTCTCTCTCTCTCCTCCCAGAGCGCCACTACTGGGACTCGGAGCTGCGCGTCCCCACCGCCGACTTCCAGGAAGTCCTCCGCGACGACCGGGCGGCGCTGGATTGGCTCCTGGCCCTGCGGCGCGTGGGCGTGGTCCACCTGACGGGGGCCGCCACGGAGCGCGGCGCCGTGGCCAGACTGGCCGAGCGGGTCGGCTACCTCCGGCTCACCTTCTACGGGTGGGAGACATTTCTCTCGTTTCATCTGCAGAGAAAGATGTTCTCACATTCTCACTTTAAGAGTCCAGACCGGTCAATTACCTGCAGCTTTCATTCATTTGGTTTCCTTGGTGACGATTAGAGTCTGTTGGCTCTTTCATCCGGCCAGACTTCAGCACCGATGACTTGAGGGGGGTGGGTTGGGGGGTGGATTGGGGGGAGTGGGGGGGCCACCTAAGAGCATTCCAGCCTTTTACACCAGAGGAATTAGAAACGAGGTTTGGAGCGTAAAGCCGCCTCGCTGCCAGCTGGACGAGCTCACTCTGCAGGAAGTGAACACCAACAGTGTGGGCGTCCATGAGGAGCACAAACAGGACCTCCTTAGCTAGCGCTTAAGAAGAAGTACCCCCCCCCCCCCCCTCTTTGTTGACTGCTGGTTAGTTAAAGCTAAATAGTGAACTGAGGGCTTAATGAATGCTGTCGCTCTCCAGGCACACGTGGCAGGTCCAGGACAAGCCCATGGCGAACAACGTGGCCTACACGTCAGGGAAGCTCGGCCTGCACACCGACTACCCGGCTATGCACTTCGCACCTGGAGTGAGTCAAACGGGTCCACTTGGACAATGAGTCCGTGTCCCGCATCTACCGGGTCACTGCGTTAATGTGCTGACCGTCCGAGTGTGCGTTTGTTTGTGTGTGTGTGCGCGCGCGTGCGTTGGGACGGTTGCAGGTGCAGTTCCTGCACTGCATCAGCGCGGCCGAGGAGGGGGGGGAGAGCGAGATGGTGGACGGCTTCCACATGGCCGAGCTGCTGCGGAGAGAAGACCCCGAGGCCTTCAGGACGCTCTGCTCGGTCCACGTGGACTTCACCGACACGGGGACGGACTACTGCGACTTCATGCTGCAGTCCAAGAAGAGCATCATCGAGTGAGCAGTCCTAACGCACACAGACCCCCACAGTCCCCCCCTCCCATTATCTGTGTGTTCCAGCTGAGACCTCCCAGGAATCTGAATGCATTAAAGGAAATCGACCGGTGGACTTAGGAATGGGACGCTGCCATCTGCTGGTCACAGTTATGTCTGCGTAAAGGTTTATATGGTTTAACCACCATGTTTGGTCCAATGTAAACACACACACACACACACACCACTTTTAATATTTAACTGAAAGAGTCTGATGAATCAATAATTCAAAAAGGATCCTCAGTTGCAGCTCTTCCAGTGAATTTCCCATTCAATCATTTTTAATTGAAACGACAAACTCGGACCAAAAAAAAAAACTCCACTAATATTTAATCTCTCAAACTCATGGCGGTTAACCCCACCCCCCCCACCCCTCCCCCTCCTTTCCAGAGTCGATTGCAGAGGGCCGAGTTGTGAGGATCAACTACAACAACGCCACCAGAGACTCCGGTGCTGGACCTCCCCGTGCAGCAGGTGCAACCCTTCTACCGGTCCATCCGGGCTACGTGGACGTCATGAACCGCCGGGAGAACGTTGGTGACCTTCAAAATGACCCAAGGTCAGTGTGCGCCGGCCACCCCCCCCCCCCCCACCGGAGCGGAGGGGTCTTCACGTTTTGTTAGCGGCCTGCTACGTTCCTCCAGTCTAAAATGCAAAGACGCACACGGACGTCTGCTGTTTGGACTCGCGTGGCCGAACACATCACAGCTGCCTCTGTTTCCAATAAATGGCCGTCGCTCCAATCACAGCTCGGCAACTGTAACTAACGAGAGCCGTTTGAACACGCGAACCTTTGACCTCCGGCTCGTCCCTTTGTGACCGCTGTGTTCATGTGGTCGTGTCGCAGGCGACATGCTGACCTTCGATAACTGGCGCCTGCTGCACGGCCGGAGGGACTACAGGAGCCGGGCCGACAGGGCGCGGCACCTGGAGGGCGCCTACCTGGACTGGGACGAGGTGATGTCCCGCCTGCGGATACTGCGCAGCTCGGTCCGGGGGAACGCCTGAGCTCATGCGACTACGGGTCCAACGCTAATTCTGACTCTGATATCATGGATCGGGTCGTTTGATGAATTACACGATGATTTTGTTTTCAGCAACGTTTCAATGCAAAAGATGAGAAACGCCGTACGTGCTTTTGGTTTCGGTCGTGGTGACAAATGAATTTTATAAACTTTGAGGCCTTTTACATTTTCCTGAGAATGCCTCATTGATATAAAGATATTGTGCAATTTATATATATATATTTTTGAATAAATTCATCACTCCCAATTCTCTGGTTGAATATTTTTTCCAGTTGAATTAACTGGTTCTCACTGCGTGTGGAAGCAGCGATGGAGGAAAGGACGCCGTGTCCTCGACTCCACGAGAAGAGAAGAGCATCTGCAGTTACTAAAAAAAAAAGACGTTTGGACACATGGACACGAACCCCAAAATGTCCCAATTAATATCAGTGAGAAACAAATCTTACAGCAACATGATATAAAAAAGTTATTTCTTATAAGTCAGAAAATAAAAATCACAAAACTTCACACCCATTAGTACGTCAAGAAAAAGGTTGTTTAAGTGATGTTCAATACGTAACATTTTTAAATGCCATTAAAAGATATGTGACAGCATCTTAATGTGCAGATATGAAATATTAACTCAGACGTTGTTTCAGCTCATTTTTCTCTCCAGAAAAAGACGGACTACGCGGAGCTTCATTTGCGATCACTTTATTATATTGCCAAAGCTGTACATATTCTATAAATACTTTTTTTCTTCCCAACGCTGGAATACTTACAGCCTCAGTTCACGCTTCTGCAGCCGGCTAGTACAACGACAGATGAGTAGTAGTACTCATAGTACTCCAGTTTAAAAAAAACAAAACACTTTGAAGTGTGTCCCGCTCAGAACCAATTGTTGAGATGCCAGTTTGGTCTTGTTTATATATTATTTGTGTGTAATATATTCATTAGTGGAACAGCATCTTCTGAATATTTCACCAATTCTTTTCCTTTGCACAGTTAAAATCACAAAAAATACAAGCGTCAGAATAAAAAAAACAACAAAAGGAAACAATAAAAATATCTTCCGGTGAGCTGTACCCATATATTGCTGATCTGGACACACACACACACACACACACACAAACAAACAGTGAAAGTTAACGGATCAGGTTCAACTGTTGTTTACTTTCACGGAGCAGAACCACGGAGACTCGGTGTGTTCGATCCCGGGATGGAAACCTGCTGCTGGAGAGTTTCTGAGGACTTTTAGACGTCTGCGACGTCAAAACAGGTTCTTTATTTCACTTGGGGCTTTTTAATGGAGTTTACGATTATCCGGCCCTGTAACGGTTACACCAGATTCTGTTATCTGATCATTTTAAATACTCAGGATCTTTGCTCTGTTGATCAGACAAAACCAAATTTCATTAAATTTATGGTCAAACTACTGATCACATTTTACAAGCAGCATTTAGATTTTTCACTTCGCTTCTCTTTTAATTTGAAATAATTTTTATGGCATCGTGACAACGTTTTATTTCCAACTTCCAGGCGAAGGCTCCAAAGAGGCACAGCCTGAGACGGGTCACTATTCCTAACAAAGGCCTTTAGGAAATGTGACCTTTGACCTGGAGGTTGGGGGACAAACAATGGCCGCCCTAAAAACGCAAATCCAGAAACTTTGTAAAAACAAAGCGGATTCGATGTCGGCAGACAGGAAAAAGGAAAAGCGCTGGTTAACCCAACGCTCATCCGCATAACGCTTTAAATATTTAAACTGACAGTTCGTAGCTACTTTTAAAACTGGGCTGACTGTCAATGAGAATGTTAATTGCGCAACTGGTGACATCACTGATTGGGAGCGTGGCCAGCAGCGGGTTTCTCATCCATGCGACGTGACTTTAAAAGCGTGAGACGGATGTCGTCGTATTTACTTTAGAAAACAAGAAGCGTTTTCCCCCCTGCGGACGCCAGGTGGCTCAAACGTGGCTCTGGCAATGGCTCACTACTTATTAAGTATTGCACATCTAGCAAATCAACAGTTTGTAACATCATTTTTTCAGAGAAATGTACAGTCAATATATGTATATATATTAAATAAATACTATATATAGAAATATATATAATATTTATTTTTATCGTCATAGTAACATGCAATTGATAACAGCGGACCACAGACGAGGAGTTTTACAGTAGAACTAGAACGGCCATCGATGGGGAGCGAGAGGACACATCTGGGGACACTCACATCGTGGGGGGGGGTCAGGGGGGGGTCAAACACTTTAAGGAAGCGGTCACATGCGCACGTGCGCTTCAGTGAAACACGCGCAGTTGTTTATTTTTTCAGCGTGGGACGACCTGACACTACAAGAGGCTCCCTGGATGGTTTTCACCAGTTTCAACTGTACGGTTACCACATACCACAGAAAAACTCACAAAGGGGGGGGTTCTGGTGTGTGGGGGGGGGGGGGGGGCAGCTCTGGGGTGAAAGTCGAGGCTGTGCACGGGGACCTGCGTGCACTCGGGGTGAGAACAGTCGGTCGGGCCTCGGCAGGGAGGGGGGGGCTGCAGGAGCAGGCAAACATTTAGCGTATTTACACGACATCACAGACTAAACACGTCTACACGACAGGGGTCTAAAAAGAGGGGGGGGGGGGGGGGGCAGGCTCGTATGTACACGCGGTGTGGGGGTGGGGGGGGTTGTGTGCTTCGAGTTGAGTGGGGATTGTCAGAAGTCTCTGGTCTTTAGAGCCGAGTAGAGAGGCACGAGGACGGGCGGTGGAGGGGGGGGTAGACTAGCTAGGGAGGGGTCTCGGGGACAGGATCTTGGGTTTTCCTTCCGCCTCCTTCCCCTTCACAGCCGCCACGTAGGAGAAAAGGCAGAGGACGGAGTAACAGATCTGATGTGCCTGCAGGGGGAGAAGACAGAGGATTAGGAGGGGGGGGGGGGGAGGGACCCGGACGTGATGTCACATCTGTGTGCAGGTTTCTCTTAGGTGTGTGCGAGATGCGGCGCCGGCATCGGTCACATCAGAAGTGCTCTGAAGGATCTCATCGATGGTAAAGATGTTTGAGCTGATCTGCAGACGGGACTTCTCTAAAGGGACTTTAAAGTCCTTTAAAGTGACAACGTTCATGCTGGTTCATCCAATCACACGCTCACCTCCCGACCTAGTAGTTTACATCCATCTAGACCCGGCCTAGTAGTTTACATCCATCCTAAACGCGACCTATTCGTTTACATCCATCTAAACGCGACCTATTAATTTACATCCATCTAGACCCGGCCTAGTAGTTTACATTGATCTAGACCCGACCAAGTAGTTTACGTCCATCTAAACGCGACCTAGTAGTTTACATCTAAACGCGACCTAGTAGTTTACATCCATCTAAACCGACCTAGTAGTTTACATCCATCTAAACGCGACCTAGTAGTTTACATTGATCTAGACCCGACCAAGTAGTTTACGTCCATCTAAACGCGACCTAGTAGTTTACATCTAAACGCGACCTAGTAGTTCACATCCATCTAAACGCGACCTAGTAGTTCACATCCATCTAAACGCGACCTAGTAGCTTACATCCATCTAAACCGACCTAGTAGTTAATCCATCTAACCGACCCCTAGTAGTTTACCTCATCTAAACGCGCCCTAGTAGTTACATCCATCTAAACGCGACCTAGTAGTTTACATCCATCTAAACGCGACCTAGTAGTTTACATCCATCTAACGAGACCTAGTAGTTTACGTCCATCTAAACGCGACCTAGTAGTTTACGTCCATCTAAACGCAACCTAGTAGTTTACATCCATCTAGACCCGCCCTAGTAGTTTATATCCAAACGCGACCCTAGTAGCTTACATCCATCTAAACGCAACCTAGTAGCTTACATCCATCTAAACCGACCTAGTAGCTTACATCATCTAAACCGACCTAGTAGTTTACATCCATCTAAACGCGACCAAGTAGTTTACGTCCATCTAAACGCAACCTAGTAGTTTACATCCATCTAGACCCGGCCTAGTAGTTCACATCCATCTAAACCCGACCTAGTAGCTTACATCCATCTAAACCCGACCTAGTAGCTTACATCCATCTAAACCCGACCTAGTAGCTTACATCCATCTAAACCCGACCTAGTAGTTTACATCCATCTAAACCCGACCTAGTAGTTTACATCCATCTAAACCCGACCTAGTAGTTTATTTCTCTTGACATACTTCACACTGGGACTCCTTCATGTTATTCACTAACTGAAGTATATCTCCCTCGGCGGGTGTAGCTGGTTGCCATATGACCCTAGTTTTACTAACGGGTGCTTCTCCGGCTGCTAACGTCGTGCCGTGAGATGAAGTGGAGTCACAACACCGAGTCGGGGACCACAGGGCCAAAGGGGCTTTACTCCTTTAATCACCAGAGGGGGGGGGGGGGGGGTGCTGCCCTCTCAGCGCTGATGTTCAAACATTACAAAGTGTTAAATGGCTCCACTTACATTACAGCATTGGTTTATTAGACTTAAGTGTGTGTGTGTTTGCTCCCAAGAGGAATGTTCCATTTCTGCAGCGTGACCGAGGCTCTGCACCGAGGGGGGGGGGGGGTTGACTCACCATGGGGGTCTTGTACTTGTGGATCACCACTTCTTTAGTTTCAGGAACTATGCCGGTGCGAGAGACAAAACAAAGAATTCAAAGGCAGCAGGAACCTTTATGAGTTCATTCTTGAGCGATAAAGAGAGGAGGGGGGTTATCTTGTGGGGGGGAGGGGGGGTTACAGGGGTGGATCAACAAGGTGAAAAATGGGATGTGGGCCAAGACAAGTCCACCACAACAGTCAGGAGGGCATCGACTGAGGAAAGGGGGGGGTCTACTGCTATTAAATCCCAGTATCGATTACAGCCCATGTTGGGGGGGGGTCGAACTATCGTGTTCGCGGGAGCATCACGACTTTGTATGACTTTGTAAGTATGTCAAGACTGTTGGGGGAGACGTTCATGGCCCACAAAAAGGATCAAATGAATCAGAAAATGTCTTATAAACAAGAGACGGCAAAGATTGTTTCAGAAGTGAAAAGAACAAAGAGGGGGAAAAAAATGACAACACCCCCCACAAAGAAGTTCAAGTTAAAGACACCACAGAGCAGCTATGAGAGGACAGATCGACTTTTCATTAGTAACTGTGAACCCGGAACATGACGACGGAGGGGGAGACGGATTATATGGTGAAAACGGAAAGAGAAAAGGATGAGGAGGAGACACGTGTGGGTAAGAAAGGAGAAAGGTGAGCACACTTTACCTGCTGGAGAATGAAGGTTTTCATAGTGGCAAAGATGAGGGCAACATTACAAAAGCAGCACAGAGACACGACAGTAACCCGGCCCGACCTCCAGAGACAGAGACGCAGGCTGGGAGACGCAGGCTGAGAGACGCAGGCTGGGAGACGCAGGCTGGGAGACGCAGGCTGAGAGACGCAGGCTGGGAGACGCAGCCTGAGAGACGCAGGCTGAGAGACGCAGGCTGAGAGACGCATGCTGGGAGACGCAGCCTGGGAGACGTAGCAGGTTGTCCCCTGCTGACGCGCTCACGTTGCTCTTTTAGCGAAGGCGTTTATTCGTGTCGATAGCGGCTTCTAACCGTTGTGTTCTTTCACTTTATGACCTTATTATTAATTATTCTTGACTTGGAGCGGAAGTTGGGAACTTAAATATTAAAAAATTAACATCACCGTTTGTCCTTTTCAAACATTACATATTTAAAACACTGTTTTTAAAAATGAAAGCAAACATGCCTCCAACGGGAGTAAACGGTGCAGTTTTCGGGGGACTCCTCTCAGCCGCGGCCTACGATAACGTGATGATCTAGTGATTGATCACAGCAGCGGGACGGTACGAGTGTGTTTGTTGATAACAAACGTCAGAGGCATCAGCTGTATTTTCAGATCTTTATAACGGTTTGTGTGCGCATCTACAAATAAGCCTCATCTGGGAGCATGCGGTTACTTTTCTGCATCTACCGGGGAGAAGTTTTGTTACGGAACCTTTTCATTTAGCTTCTACGGGGGCCTCGTTGTCGCTAAGTCACGACTCCTTTAACACACAGACGTTCATTCATCCGAACGAAGTGCCGGAGCTCCTGATCCAGCCGAACCCTCGCTGGACCTCGTCAAATGCGTTTGCCACGAAGCCGAGTTACTGCCGTGCCGAGTACGGGCCTACAATCAATAGATGGTGTAATTACCAAATTCCTCCAGGACAAAGACTCCCTTCACTGTATTGCACTTTTTAATGTGACTCAGCTCTATGAAAACCTAAAAAAAAAACACAACAAACAAAAAAACAAACAGACACAACATTATTAACTCAACAACACTTCATTGTTAAAGAAATTAAACATGTTACACTCGTTGTATTTCAGTGTGAAAGGTCAAAAGGAAAAACAACCACACATGGAGTGCAAGCTTTTAACAGCTGACGACAGAAAGGAAAAGAACAGTATGAGAAGTTTCCATGATCAAACGCATACGAGGGCGACGGTTCAATGAGGAGAAATGCATTTAGTCTGCTCAGAGATCTGGAGTGACACATGTACAGGTATATATATATATGTATATAAACACACATATATAACAGCAGGAACATTTATTTCTATGCTCAGAGATGCAATATGGCCCATATGATGCATACATGGAAGTTCCATATCAAAATGTAGACAAGGACACAAAATTAGATTTGCCACAGAGCTACAACAGTAAAGAAAAGAGAGATATAAAGAAAAGGAAAAGAGGAGCCGTATAGGATGGATCTGCTAATAAGCAAACACAGCAGAGGTTGTGTACCTTCCGCTCCTTGCAGGGGGAGAGAGCATGGGAGAGAAATGGTTTGGATTATTATCGGACAGAAGAGCACAAACACTCGACGACGCTACCCGCCGATTCAAATCCATGATCTCAGCCGGGAGCCAATGTGAGAGTCCAAATAATAAGAATTTAAATAAAGAAGGTCACAAGAGGAATCGACCCCTGAAAAACTAGTAGGGGGGGGTGGGGGGGGGGTGGGGTTAAAGATAAAACAGAGAGGATTGACTACAGGTATTGAGAGCTGGATTCACCTGTGTGTGGCTGGACTTTAAACATGTCAGTCCCCCAGAGCCCTCCATGCCTCCTCCTCCAGCAACAAGGGCGGCACCAACACCCCGAGCTCACACAGCAGCACAGACAAACCGGGGGGGCGGGGGGGGCACCGCTCGCGATGCTGAATGCAGTCGTGGTAAACTAACGCGTCTCCGCGAGAGAACCAGGAAGTTCAACGGGCCGCAGCGCGACGCTCTTCTTCTAGAGACGCGCCGCTGAGCTCCAGGTAGAAGAAGGTCGGCGCGTCCGAACCGACGGGGCAGTTCACCCAAATCATGGAAATGAAAAGTGCGTCTGACCGAGAAGTGTGTGTGTTTTACGATTTATTTAAGCTCTAAAACATCTAACATGGGTCCTCTAGCAGACGACGCGGCCCTTCGTCTTGAAGGACGTCCTCTTAGCTCTTCGTCTCCAGCAGCTGAATGCTGCAACGCGTTTCTACGTCGGGCTTCGTGCGGGTGGTGCAGACGGAGCTCTAGGGCTTCTAGACGGAAAACAGCCGCGGCCATAAATGTTCCACGAGCGAGCCAAAAGAAAGAAATAAATGAGATGAAAGAAGTTGAAAACGTAGTACATAATCGCCCTCTCCGAGGTTTTTATTCTGTTCATTTGGGTGAACTGACCCTTTAAAAACGCCTCTATTGAGGGATCGGTTTGAAGATCTCTCCCTGGTGTCGTTGCTTCCGAAGATGCTCGAAACGTACGAAATGTCCGTTAGCTGCCGGATGCTTGCGTGGTTACGCGAATCTACTGAAGCACACTGGACACACGGACGCACACACACACACACACACACACACACACACAGCTGCACACTAACAAACCTGAGGAGAAGAACGAACCAGACTACGACAACACAAGACGATGTTCAAGGATCCAAACTTAAAATGGGAAAGTTGCTATTGAAATAGCCAATTATTAATGAAAAGTCTTTGCTCAAAGTCGTCCGTCTTACCACCGACGCACAACACACACGCGCACAGACACATTAAACACTTTATCTCCTCCCACACAGGTAATCGACAGAGAGGTTTGAGCGCCACAGATGGAACAAATATGAGCGCGCGTGGAGGGATGTGTTAATAAAGTACTGTTTTTTTGGGAAACGCATGCATACAAATGCACACAAACAAAAACAAACAAAAAAAAAAAAGCAAAAGCACAAACAGGAATTCTTCCTCTAGGGGAGAAGAGGGCGGAGTAAAACACGCCAATCAAAACACGCCGCTAGTCCTCGCTAAGAGTTTAGTCGACGAGGAATTCTCTTTTAACCGCGATAGAGGAAGACGTCCCGAGACGAGAGGAGATGAAACGGACGGGATGACTTCAGTTATTCGTACGTAACCCTCATGCCCGTGTGTGAGATGAGCAGCGTGTCTCTGCCGGGGGGGACGGGGACGGGGGGGTCTTACCTGGCTGTGCATGAATTTCAGGTTGATTCCTCTCTAGGGTGACCTGCAGCAGTCTGCCTTCGCTGGTCTTCATGTCCTGGACGGGAAACTCTCCGCTCAGCTCGGGACCTGAGGGACACGACTCCCAGAGTTTAAAAGAGACTGAAGTCCACCCTCTCAGCTTAGACAGGCATGAAAACAGGTCAAGGGTGAAAAAGGTGAGAAGGATATTGCCTCTCTAGGGAGGGGGGTTTTCAACTGGTTTTGTCTCAGAGATGCGTACCAGGTTGGCAGGTCTGCTTATTGATGGAACGGTGGAGCACTTTACCTTCTGCCTCGTCGGTCCCCTCACCTCAACATCTACCTCCTCAAGAACGCTCGCGTTAGCTAATCGTTTCCTACCGGAGCGTTAGCTAGCTGGCCAACGTCGCGACGTTCTCTCCTGCCGCGTTAAATGACTCAACCCATCAAGCTGTAGCTCACGTTAGCTAAGTCTCCTGGGTAACTTAACTTGGATAGACCAGAAAATATTTAAACCATCACTCACCCTGTTCGCAATTCACTGAATATGAATACCCCCCCCCCCCAAAAAAAAACCTCATCAAATCTACACGGTTCACGTAGGTCACCTATTTTGGCTTCAAAACGGCGAATTTCGCCGAAAGGTGAGGGATTTTCATGCCCGATTAGAAGAAAATGACCGACCTGGCTTGATGCTCTGCTGTCGGGCTGCGGCGCGCTCCATGCTGTCTTTAACGCAGTAGTAGAGCTCGCGACACTGAGAACGCAGAGAGAAACCGTCACTTCACTGGAACAACAAACCGCTGCGGACAGAAGCCCCTCCCCCTCCTCTCTTCTCCGGACCTTTTTGGTATAGAACTTGTTGAGCTGCGTCTCCTGGCCGTTGCGTCTCCACAGACACAGCACCTTGGTCTTGGGGCAGTAGGTCATGTTGATGAGCTTCTCGTACCACCAGCGCTCGTAGACGGTGCCGATGTTGCTGCGCAGGACGATGCAGTCGTCGCACACCTGCCACGGGAAAGGCTGCGTCTTGAAACCGCTCGGCCCCTTTTTTTTAAAAAAGGAGCGCCGAGCGGTCGGCGCGGACGCGCTTCGTACCTCCATGAAGAAGATGTCCCCCGTGGTGTCGGTGCCGGCGTGCACGACAAACGTCTGCTTCTTGATGTGGCGGCTGCCGCTGGGCCTGATGGACAGCTCGCGGCCGTTCTGTAAAACAAACGTGCCGCTGGGTAGAAGCGGGGGGGGGGGGGGGGGGGGGGGGGGGGGCAAACGGCAGGCGAGTTGCGCGGCGACGGAGGCGGCAGACGCTCACCAGGTCGGCCAGTTTGTCCAGTGTCTCGTTGATCTCTTGGCTGTACGTGAGGCCGATGTGGGACTTCCCCATCAGGCGCCTCACTTTCTTCTTGATGTCGTTTTTGTTCAACTAATAAAAAAAAAAAAACCCAGAAAGACACAAACGCGCCGAACGTGAGATACCTGCGGGCGAATGGATCAAACGAAGCCGAAGCTGCCGTCAAGCGGGTCTCCGTACTTTCACCATCAGCATGAACGCGATCATGTTGTGCAGCAGCGTCGCCAGGAGTCGGTCCTCGTCGTCCTCGAGGCGCTTGCGGTCGTGTTCGCCCAGAGACAAGTACCTGCGACGGGCAAAAAAAGGAAAACGGAGATGGTTCCAGGTTTCTGGAGAAAAAAAAAAAAAAAGTCAGCGAGTGTCTGCAGGCGCGTGGAACCTTTCGATCATCTCCTGCGGCCCCTGGTCCATGCCCATGCCCTCGCGCTCCAACATCACGGCGTCCAGGTAGGCGTCCTCCCAGAACTGCAGCTGGTCCCACAGAGTGGAGCGCTCCTTGCCTGAGCACAGCGCACACACACACTGTCTCAAACACACACACCAACAGGTCTAATCCAGCGTCTCATGTATTTAACTGCTGCGCTTAGTAATCCAGCAGATATCACAAGTCAATCTGGGCTGAGATTTTTGGGAATGTGTTTTTAAAAAGTTGGAAACTGCTCGACGTGAAATCAAATGAAATGAATGACGACTTTCAGGATGACAAAAATAACGCTCACTTATTAGGAGATCTTCACATATTCACTAGCTGGTCTCAGATCAGAACTATGTCTGAAAAGCCACAAATGATTTGAACCACCGAGCCAGTCTGCATGAACAACGGACACTCGCACACACATGCACAAAACACACAAGAAAAAGGGCAAAAGGCAAGAAGATTCGCCCTACTTAGAGAAAAGGTTTCCATGGCAGCATCTTCTAGTTGATCCCAAACGGAGCTCTTATCGCGGCCTGGAAGAATTTCCCAGGAGGAGCAGCGGGGGGGAGAAGAGGAGCAGCGAGAGCAGGAGGAGGTTAGGGCCGAGAGCTGAGCGGGTTAATGGCAAAAAAAACAAACCCAGAGCAGAGAGAGGAGAGCGAGCGAGCGAGCGAGCCGGAGGCCAGCGGCAACAAAGCAACCATTTCCTGTGGAGCCTGCGGCTGAGACGCGTGGTGACGACGTCGGGTGTGTTTGGGGAATTTATTCTGGTTTTGAGGATCTGATCGTTTGTCAAATTCTGTTCAAATGATTCCAACCAAACCTCTCGGACGGTGACACGCTTTTCACATCTTACTGGTTTGTTAATCCTTTATTTAAACTAACTTTTTTGCACTCGGCTAAATTTCTTTCCTGCGTCAGTTTACGTAACATCACTTCTAGTTCATCAAGCTTCTGGTTTTAGTTTCTTAGTAAAAGTGTTAATGAAAGAGGTCGCACAAGTTTTAAGAAACAGGGAAGAAAAGCCGTGGGAATAAAAGGCCGGCCGCTGGGCGCTGAGCGCGTCGCCGTGGCTCAACATACCCAGCAGCCCTTCGCAGAGGTAGATCCTCATGCTGATGTCCTCGGCGGGCCGCGCCGGCGCCCCCTTCGCCGGCGCGGCATCTTTGGCGGCCGGCTTCAGGGTGTGGGGCTTCCCCTGCGCAGACAGGACGAGGGTCTCCCGTCAGGCCCGGGGGATCGGTCCGAGCGGGACGCGAGGCGTCAATTCTGGGAGGGCCGACGTTCACTTACGAAAACGGCGCTGGTGGCCGGGTTGGTTTCGATCTCGCTGTCGGAGAGAGTTCCTCTGGACTGCGTCAGGTGGGCGCCGACTCGGCCGCCGAGGCCGTCCCCGGCTGTGCTGCTCAGGTCGCTGTCGGCGCCCAGCGTCTCGCCGGAGCTGTTGCTGATCTGAACGACGAGGGAAGGTGGAGGAGCAACGCTTCAGCTTCAGCGGCTCGTTTTCAGAAATATACGGCAGCGGGGATGAAGTCACATGACGTATTTTAACATAGAACTGCTTGTTTTTAATGGTCACGTTGTTATTTAATGGTGTGTGTTTGTTTTAGTAAGATTCATGTTTGGTTGCACAACGTGCACATGAGGACGAAGCGGACCACAGATATCGTCCCTCAGATATTGGGCGGTAAGCGTAGAGGCGGCGAGTTGGCCGCGTCCTACCACTGTGCTGGCCTCCGAGTCCTGGCTGGTGCTTCTCGTCAGGATCGGGGGCTCCGAGCTCGTTACCGACTCGGTGTCGCTCTTCTGCAAACCCAAGAGGAGAGGGGGGAGGGGGGGGGGTGAGGACACATTGGTACACCGAATGGCGTTTCCCCGGCCGAACCCTCCGGAGCAGACCTGGGATCCAGACGTCACGCCGAGGCCGCTGTCGGCACTGATCTGGGATTTCTTCTCCTCGCCGTCGGCCACCGGGGGGCGCTGGTGCTTCGCTCCGTCGGACCCTGAAGGACAGACCGCGACCGTCAGCACCTTCACGTGAGCACCTGCTCGCCTCACCGAGAGTCTCGCCGCGCTCAAAGCCACCGCAGCACAACGACCAGGAGGCTACGGCCGCCTTAAGCGCCGGTTTAAAACCACGGCCAAGCATAAACTGCCTTATTCAGGAGGGGGGGGGACAACAGATTCAGAGCTGTAAGCTAAAATCCACTGAATAAAAGCTCTACTTTAAAGAACACGTTTCATTCAAATGTTGTCACTACTTTCTGTAGTGATAACGGAAAGTGGCAGATGAAGGGTTCAACGGTCACGAGCGCGAGCGCCACCCAACTGGGGAGGAAAATTACAAAACAAAACTGCAAGAGCGCAACATTAATTCCCAAGTCAATAATGCAAATGTTATAACAGAAACAACCATCAGACACAAGAAGCTGGCATGCAGGTGGACTGGTGGACGGAGGAGGAGGCGCTTTAAGGTCCTACGTGGTTATTCATCACCTCGGTGGGTCATTTGATACATACAGATTTGACCAACGGCGTTAAATAAAAGAACTTATGGCGAGCAACTTGAAACTGGGGAAAGAAATAGTTAAAAGTGCAGAAAAAAGGGCTGAGGGGGTCGATTTCTGCTAATCTTGAAGCACGAGAGATCAAGAAAAAGAAAAACATTTCAACCTTAACAAAAACATCATCATCTTACTGATATGTAATTGCAATACGTTTTCTGATATTATTAAACTCCAAACACATTACAATGCTTAAAATGTGAGTATTTAAAGTAAAGCGGTTCACACTTTAACAAATATCACACCTCCAATAGAATTTGGATTAATTGTTCGTCATCCTAGAGCCCCGAAACAGAAATCAGTGAACATGTTTAACAACGTATTAAACAACTGAACAACTCACACGTGTGCTAGTTTCTTTAGTATGTTCTGCATCCTTTGGTTTAACAAAGCTGAGATTATAACATAATTAAGTAAAACAAGATCATTTAGTTATAATGTCTTCTGGAAGAATTATGAGAAGAAAAAAAAGAAAAAAAAGTGGGCCGCTGTCTCAAGTCTGGATCTATCACAACATGAGCTTTATATTAAACGATGGTTTAATAAAGTATGTTAGCCAACATACTGCTACTACTCTGCATTATAACGAATCCAGAATCATGAACCGTGGAAACAAAACAGAAACAGGAGTAACGAAGGATTCAATCCCTGCCTACATTTGATCTGTTACGAGCTCGTACATTTCGATCAGGAGCCTTTTTATTCATTCATGTGCTACGACACTGATGGGTTTGAAGAGGAGGAGAGAACTGGGCGGGAAAAGGTCAACAGCTCAACACCCCAAACTGTTTCCCTTTGTTTTTTCGTGTGTGAAAATTCTCTTACTCTGTGGTTTTTCCATAGCTTTTTGCTTATCCCGGTGCTTGCTCCACAATTCTACCCAAGATGCATTGCAAGCAAGGAGAGAAAGACAGAGAGAGAGTCAGAGAGCTGGTTGAAAAAAAGGCATGTATGGGAGATGAGCATTGATAAACAAAAACAAAAACAAAGTAGGCACTGAGGATCCGTCATCGCTGAATGGAGGCGTTTTGTAACGTTTGCATGTAGCTGCGCTTCAATCTGGACAAAGTGAAAACCCGGGTTGGATCTACGGTGTGCGACAGCTGCCAAGCGAACATCACAACACGCCCGGTGCCCCCAGAGACCCCCCCCCCCCCTCCCCGAGTGCTGGAGAGCCACACAGCGACGTCGGGATGAGCCGCGGCTCCCAATCGCAGCGACTGCTTTTGTCTGGCTCCCCAGAGCGGAAAGAGGGGGGCGAGAGAGCGGGCCGGTAAAGAGGCGTGGGATGGCGGGTGGAGGGAGAGGGGGGGTCTGACAGGCCGACTAGTGAAATGGAGCAGTTGCAGAAGCCGGGATGCAAGTCTCACAGCAAACTGTAGAATTGAAGGTGCAACTTGATCTAACGGGAGAGACGGGGTTGCGGGTGGGAGAGGTGTCGGGGGAGGTGGGGGGGGGACTCAAAGTGTCCACAGTAAACAGACCCAGAATCATTCTCAGGGAACCAAGTGATTATTAAGGATTATTAAGTCAGTTGGTTTGATCAATTGAAAATTGTGGGGGAACTGGGACTGTTTACTGGGGAGCGTTGATTCCGCCCCCCATGCTGAGAGCAGACGGCCATTTTTCCTCTGGCCCGCCTCTCAGAAACCTGCAGTAAAGGCACAAGGCGAGCAGCGGTTTACCGACGCGCACACCTCTGGTTCTCCCAAACAAAAAGACATGCATTCAAGGTGCTGAGAGCTGAAGTCCAGAGGGGAGGCAAACAGGGGCAACAGATGTTTAAGGGAGGGGGGGCAAACACACTCAGTCCGGGCTGGAAAACAGGGGAATATTCCACACACTTTATACATATCGTAAACAGGGACAAATTCAACATTTAAATTCTCGTTTTCAAATAGGATTTCCGACACAAGGTAGCGTATTAATATAGCATTTCAGCTCCAAGTGTGTGGAATATCCTGTAGGGTTCCGTCAGGGACGAGGGATCTTTCTTTTGGGGGGGAGGGGCTAATATAAAGGTTGATGAGCTCGTTGGGAGACGGGGGGAGATCTCACAGTGCACATGCAACCGGGGGGCCGGAGTGGTGTACACACCGATCGAGGCAATAAAGTTCTCCTCGTTCAGACTCCGCGTGTCAAAGTGGCGTGCGGCGCCGCGGCCCGTGGCGTGGTGCGGCACCTGCAGGTGGGGAACGTTCAGGAGGCCTCGAGTCCCGGCGGCGTCCACGTGCGCAGAAGGACTCTCTTTGCTCCCCGGGCTGCCGGCACTTTCTGTGGGGCTTCGCTTGCGTTTTTCCGGGTCTACTGATTTACCAACGTGACGGGGAGGGCGGGGCCACAGACGAAGAGAGTTAAAAGATATGAGGAGGTTTCAACGGGGAGAAGATGAAGACAAAGAAGGAAATAATTATGCAATCACAGTTAATGTTTACGTTGCAAACCAGACAGCACAGGGCCTGCAGAAGACAAGCTGAGAGACGTTTAGTTTTCCGCTTTGCAGCCATAACGCAGAGCACGTCACCTGCGTGTGGGTGTCGTACCTTTGGTCTGATAGTGAGTGCGTGCGATTTCCATGAGGCTGAAGACACTGGCCATTCCTCCGAGGCCCGCGTTGGTGTAAGAGTGCTCCAGACTGGACACGGTGCACTTCAAGATGTCCAGCATGCCTTTGTACACCTTCCTGCTCACCTCCTGAGAACAAAACGCCGTCAACGAGACAACTAGAGGCTTCTTCAGTGGACTTTGAAGATAAAGCCACATCCCTGTTGGTCGTAACGATCAGGTGACCTGCAGCTGCAAAATGTCCCAAGATCTACAGGCCATCATTCTCATAACCAATAATTGTTTTACTTTTATATTCACAGAGCCAAACATCTAATATGGGAGGATTCTTGTCACAGGCGACATAGTGAATATATTTGACAATTACTAAAACAAGCCACTTGAAATAAAGGGATGTTGTATATTTATAGTTATTATTATATTTATTATCCAACATGGGGTTTTCTTCTGGCTTTGGTGTTAATGTTCTGTACTTCCTGGCTCCAGGAGAGGCGTCTCACCACATCGCGTATGATCTCCTGTCTGGCGTCCTCCTCCGACTGGATGGCTCGGTTCAGCTTGCTCAGCACGAAGACGCGCAGCTGCTCGTTCTCCAGCAGGCGGCGCACTTTTTTCATGTTGAGCCAGCCGACCCCCTGACCGTCCAGGACGCTCTGCACCACTTCCTTCAGGAACTGCTGGTTCTCGCTGAATGGGTGCGAAGGGAGGGGACGGGATGAGGTGGAGGACAGGGGGACAATAAGCCCCCCCCCCGATCTTCCCCCTGCGGAAGGTTGGACCGGTTACCTGGTGTTGTTGACTCGGCCCTGAGGAGAAGGAGATTCCCTCTTCACTGTCGGACTGTGCTTGATTACCGAGGACTTCTGGTCCACGAGGGCTCGAGGTGCACGAGCGCCTGGAACAACAACAGCGTCAAACAATGAGGTTCCTGAGAAGGACCACAAACAACAGCTAGGCAGAAGGTCACTCAGGAGGAGAGAGCTGGACACACACACAAGCCCCCCGGGAACGGAATCAACTCTACAAAAAGGCCTCGTGATTGTTTACTAAACGTCTACTTCGCTGTGTGTGGAGGACGGACACATCTGGACTCTACTAAAGGTCACTTACTGCAGAACAGACACATTAACGGGAGCTATTATTACAACAAAGGAGGTGAAGGACAAACGGTGCACGCGCAAACACACAGAGGAGCCCAAACGCTGCTCTTGGTGTTGGCGTCACACATTAGCCGCACAGATACGTGAGGTCAGAGGAAGGGTATCGTGTGCGGCGACTCTATCAGGGACATCGTGCGTGAAAGAAAACAAAGGGATGGCGGGGGCGAAATGAGCTGCGCCCCGACGCCACAAGGTGACTCCTTTTAACTAGACTGCTGCAACGCCGTGTGACGCCCGGCCTCTGGGAGCCGTTTCAGAATCATATCATTATATCCGGGTTAAGGAGGCTCAACACATTTGTGCGAGTCTATTGTTGTTGTTTTTTAACTCACTCAATTGGCTCAAGTAAACACATGTGAGAATTGAGTCCAAACCCCTGCAGCGCGTAATGGAGCCGTTTAGTAATGAGCGTCATATCTAGACTAATCCTTTCTTTACTCATTTAACCTTTAAAAAAACAAAAGGAATTCCTCTGATTTGATATTTTTGTATCTTCTATTTAAAGCAGCGGGCAGAGCCTGTATTTGTCAACTCACACTACACGTTCTAAATCGGCTTACGTTCACGATCAGAGTCCATTACTTTAATGACTCTTATTTAGACGGCAAACAGAGAGAGGCAGCGTTCATCGTTTCATGTCAACTATATGTTTTTTTTAACAGAAAGCTGGAAGATGCAGATAACATGAGGACTGTTCTGCAGAAACGCGTGTCAGCGTTGAATGCAGCAACAAGTTAATTTAAGTTAGTTAGTCTGGCGCTGCACAAACACGAAGGAGTAAGAGGAGCTCACACTTCCTCCTTCCAGTGACTGATTCCGTTTGTGAGGCATGAAAGGACGGGGGGAGGAGCCTCCGTCCCCCGCGCAGGGGACACAAAGGCATTCTGGTGGGACGTCTGTCATTACAGGCGGCTCTATCGTCACTTTTGGCTGACAGCGGGGATCCATTGTTTATTATTATGGCTGTCATGGCGACAAGAGATAAGGGTTTTATTCCCAAAACCAATAAAACAAAAGGCTTTTTTCCCCGCATGTTTCCGTCTGGAAGCCAATAAAGAAGTAAGAACAAATCAAAAAGTGATTGCAACAGAAGCGGCACAAACCAAACGGTTCTGCAGGGGGAGGCTTATGGATGAAGTGAACGAATACGGCCAGACGTAACTCAGGATAAGTGAAAAGGTTTACATCAATATTCTTTGATGGTCGGCCTGAAGCTTTAAACTTTAATTGGAAGAGCATGTGGTGTTATTAATGGAGGACACTTTGAGGCTGCAGCCCTTTTTAAATGATGCTCAGCCTCAGGAGTCAAGTGATTTGTCGACGCGGAGTGAGAAGGCAGAGATCGTAGCGAAGCCGATCTGAAATCTGGACCAGCGGGAAAAAAAAAAAAAACTGAGCCTGCAAAAGTCAAAATGGGAAATGGTGACCATAAATCCCTCAGTTAGTCAGTGAGTGTCATTCATAAGTCATGATCTCTGAGACGCTGGCAGCGCCACAGAGGACCAGGAGCAGAGGAAGCGCTGGTGTGCTGCCGTGGCGGAGGACGCCTGGATGCGCTCGGCTCTTGCGGACGCATTGCTGGTCTGGTCCCGTGTTTAAGCCCCTTGCGTGCCGACTGACTCATTTACAGGTTTTCATGAATCCTTCCTGCAGCCCTGTGTGTGTGTGTGTGTGTGTGCGTGCGTCTGATAGCTCTGTAGTTATTGTTGCTGCATTGTGTCATCTGACTGATTCTGTTGATTAGTAAAAGTTATCCATCCATCCAAAAAAGAAAACTCAATAATATGACACATCCAGAGACATAATTAACTTCCTGAGACAAACCCCACAGTAAAAGTGAGAGGACATTTTGTAACGTTTCAGAATTTGGAAATAACACCGGAAATTCAAAATAGTTCAATAAAGAACCATATTTAAAATCAACTTGTGAAAGTTCTCGCCATTGTTATGTTTCAGTAAGACAAACACAAAAACGCCCACATCAGGCCTCCTCAGGAGGCCCGTGTTTGTCATCCAAACCCCTTTAATGTCCACACAACCAAAACTCACTCACCGTGTGGAGACAAAAACCTGGAGAACCGGTACCACGCTGAGCCAAAAGCCCGAAGAGCGTTAATAAAGATTCTGCGTCATTTTACCGTCGTCACTGCTCATTGTGTGCCGCACGATCACAGCGGGCTCAACCCAGTTAGTACGCGTGAGGGACAAGAAAAACAAGGAGAAACAATGCATGCTGGGAGATTGTCTCCGCTCATCGAGTTCTTATGCTGCACCTCAACATCCTGCACGCCGCCCCGCGCTTCCTTCGCCTCCCTGTGGTGATCACTCGCTGCAGGTATTGTGCTACCTGTTCCTGTGACTGCTGAGGTCACATCCTGCTTTATATTTATTAGTTTAAAAGTCCTTTGAATCTTTCCTGTGATAAAACCAGCTCAATACATAAACTAACATACACAGTGAGATGGGGGGGACACTCACTATAAAATGGCGGCAGGCTGAATGCGTCACTTTGATGAAACACGGGGTGAGGGAAGGCCGAGGGGGATGCTGGGAGATGTAGTTGACTGGCTGAGAGACGCATGCGCCTCACTCAGTTAAAAACAAAAGAGGGGCAGAACCCACCTTCTCCGCTGCCCGGGCCAGCCTCTGAAATTATCTCCATTAGAGAATTTAACCCAAATACTGCACACAAAACCCAGAATTAGTGGCACAAAAAGAGGTGGACAGAGAGAGAGAGGGGGGGACACTGAACGTCCCGCAACACAGACTCAACACGGGGACGACTCAAAGTCACATAGAAAATAAAAATAAAAATAAAAGGGAGGACAGAAAAGAGAAAACGTGACTGTGACGGTATCAGCGTTGGATAAGAGGCCGAGTGTTGATTATACAATTAAACATCAGTAGTACGTACAGGACGCGGGGTCGCCACAGCGGCGGCCATTTTTACGCGTTCCGTTGCCATTGCAACCGTTGCAGCAGGCTAAAGCTAAACCAGAGCGTTTTCAAGCTAGTTAGCGGGCTAGTTAGCTTAAACCTAACCAGCACTACCGTCCCTGTCGCTAACTAGACACAAAGATCGATATCTGTCCTTCTGCTCAACATACCGCTAAAGCAAAGGTTGTATTTGTTACTTTAGAGTTTGGCGATGGCGTCAGGCAGGAATCTGTTCTTTAGCACAACGAAAGAGAACCGTGACACACAGTTGAGTTGAGAACCTGAGAAAGTCACCGCTTCTTGCTTGAATTAGGGAGGGAAGGAAACACCACAAGCAAGCAAGTTAAAAGACACGAGTCGCGAGGTGGGAAACACGTCCCGCCACTGAGAGGCCGCTGTGTGAAGGTCATTCGGACACAAATAAGGCCACACGTGAACATTAATTAGCCAAAACATTTGCAGTGGCGAAATAAATCTTTCAAATACTTTTGTGTTTGTATTAGAAAGACTCCCACTGACGCACACAGAGAGCGGAATGAAAGGAACGGAAGGGGAAGACGTGGACACCGTAAGGTGCATCTTCTATCCTATAGTTAGAAACACGGTGTAAGAGAAGTCACTTCAAAAGATAAAAACTAATCACAGCACACATGACGTACCCGGGCTGTCAGGGTCATCTGAACGACAAAGACAAAAACACATCATTCTCAAACAGGGCAGAACATTTTCCATGGCAGCTATTCCGCTGTGGGTGGAGCTATTGAGTTAGATTAACATGCTTCACCTCGTTTCTCTCTCATTTAAAGTGAAAATCCAGCCGAGAGAGAAGTTCTGTTGGCACCTTAAACCCTTCACCCACTCTCAAAAATAAAAAATCATATATATTAACCAGTTTAACTAATTCTTCTCTTTGATAAAACGCTATGCCAGTTGGATTTATCTTGTTGTGTCTGGTTTCCATTGATGCATGACCGCAATTTATCTGAAGTGTCAACATCAGAATCCTTATTAAAACCATAAATCCTGCAGTTGTTTGGGATTTCTTACCCGCTCATTCTTTCTGTTCGCTTGGAAAAAGATTTAAAACGACCTCCGCACATTTATCTGCTTCCAAGTGCTACGAGTGTGCACAGCAGGGCCAACGCTCGAACACATTCTACACTCAGAATAAATTAACCCCAAATCAAGTCTGCTTTTCGGTGGATTTTCCCCATTAATCTTGAGAGAAAAACGGTTTCTCAACTTCAATATTCTCCTTTAAAATAGTGCCACGTCAGTTTGGCAATCCATCGGGAACAAAGTCAAGCTAAGAAAAACACACAAACCTGCTTCCTCCATTTCCTCCTCAATATCAATATTGAAATATTCTTTTACCCCCAAAACGTAATTTAAAAAAATAATTAACAAAAAGAGAAAAGAACAGAAAAATGAATTAAATAACACTTAAGTTGAGAAAAATAAATATTCATATTTATTTATTTATTTATTTATACTGAATAAAAAACTTATATTTCAGTCATTAAGACAAGTATAAATGAATGCTTTCCTTTAATATATAAAATTATATGTGTATTCATACATTTATGGCCACTGCATGAAAAAACATGAAGCATGTCATACAAAAAACGTAAATAGTGACTATTTTAATGATTCTAATCCTCACACTCTTCAAACTCTCCCCAGTGTTCTTTAACAGAACGTTTCTCCTCACCTCTGAAAACCCACTAAAGAAGAATATGTCAGAAAAAAAACGGATGAGAAAGCGGTCGGTTTACCTTTCAGACTGGGGAACGGCGTTTTCTCCCTCGCTGCCTTGTTGGGAAGCGCCAGGTTGGACAGACTGAAGCTGGTGCCGTGGTTCTTGTAGAGATTGCCTGCAGCGGTGGAGTCCGAAAAAAGAGGAATACCATTTAAAAGCAATCTTAAAAGCACTAGAATTAACATTATTCAAGGTGTTTATGTCAGGGCGTGGGGGAGTAGACGGTCCTCTGGAGGCTGAACTCTGAGCTGTTCGCCCCTCAATTATCCAGATTCCCCCGCGGAGAACCTCACAACACAGAAGCTGCAGACGACTTTACTTTGCCTGCTGCGACGGGCGCCGCTTGTTTTTCCGACCGCGGAGAGCTCGCCCAAGCTTCCGCGTTTAATAACAAGCGGGGGAAAAAAGAAGACATTTGAAACATCCTCACTGGCAAACGACATGAGTCCTCCGAATCCGTCGTTGTTGCTGCTGTTGGAGATGGTGGAGTTCGGCGAGCTGTTGCGGGAGTCGCCCTCCCCGTCGGACTCTCCCGGTAGCCTCAGGCTGGAGGGACGCAGAGGCCGCTGTGCCCTGAGGAGACGACCAAAAAGACCTCACCGCGCGTGCCGAAGACACCACGACACACGGACACACGGACACACGCACACTTTATGGGAAAAGACTCAGGCATTCACCGCCACAGATTCAAAAGACCACCATGAACGGAGGGAGTCGCGGCGACATGCTTTTCACGGGGAGAACATTGCATGGTCGGTCAGAGAGCCCATTTGAATGATGGTGCTGCATTCATTCAAGCGATGAACAAGCTTAACACACTTGTTGCCATTGAGGTTCTGGTTGAATCGAGGGGTGTATGACTCCACTTGCTCTTCTGCATCGGGGTCATCCTCTGAGGGGAAGCCATACTGAGGCTCAAAGTACGGGTTGTCGTACTCTTGCTTTTTGTTGGCGGGGCCCGCCACGCCGCCGCCGTCGGCCGCGGGTCTGAGGACGGGCGGGCCGCCCAATCCGGAGACCGGGACCTGCAGCGCGGCACCTGCTGGTGCTTCGATTTCAGGTGCTTCCCCGTGCTCCTGGGAGAAAACAAGATACGAGCATTTAGACCGATGGCAATTGTGGACAATTACAAATGTTGCTCTTTTGTAGTGTATTACTTTGCACAGATAAACTGACTAAATTAGCCATCGAGACATCAAATATTCAGCGTCTACGACAGAAGAGATCACCCGCCTGGTTGACCCCCTGGATGACCGTGCTGGGACTGGAGCTCGCGGTCGTGCTGGAGCTCGAGCGAAGAGGTTGCGCGTCGGAGGGGTCGGCGGGCAAGTCCCCACCCGGCGGACCCTCGGAGACTCCGCCGGCCCCGAAGTCGTGGAGGTGTTGGAACTCCACCTCGCTGGCGTCTCCCAGTGCGGCGTGAGTGGGCGGGTCCAAGCCTGCGGCGTTGAGGTTCACACGTTAAAAAAAAAGAAGGCGGGAGGTGTGAATGCGGCGGACGCGGCGGAGCAGCGACTCACTCGGCGTGTCGCCCTGGATGTCGCCGTGGATCATCTCGCTCACGAGGTCTCCGAGGGAGGAGTAGGACGAGCTGGAGTCGTCGTACGCGTCGCTGTCACTGCCGCTGCAACAGATGCACAGTAACCAGACGTGACCGTCACCAGTAGTTCACCGATAAAATCACTAGAAACATTTTACAAAGACGGACAATTCGTTTTTAATTCAGCAAAAACAAGCGGTCTTAAAATGTTCTACGTTTAAGTACATTTTGAAGCCGTCTTTCTTTGTTTGAAGGCCATAAACTATATGCAGTGCAGCTTTTCGCCTTTCCCGCGTTTTTGTCAGGACATTGTTTTAAAAAGGAGCAGCCGGCTGAGCTCCCATAAACAACAAGTGTCACCGTGGCTTCACCTGTCCGTGGGGTCCGACTCGTTGCCCTCGTCCTCCAGGGGACCAGCCATGGCTTCCACCAGCTGGGAGCTTCCATCGTACACTCGGTAGACCACCGGCTGTAACTGGTGCGCGTACCACTTGGGCTTGTCTCCGATCAAGGAGGGGTCGAAGACGTCTGAAACAGAGGCGGGCGGTGAGCAACGTTTGAAGTGGCTTCGAGCGAAGCCCCTTGGAGGTGACGCTTACTGTTGTGTATCCTCTGGAAGGCGAGGTTGGAGGGATTCAGGGCCCACTCGCCATAGAACTCCACGGCCTGCGTGTGAGACAGTTTATCCGCAAAGCAGGAGCGCCGCGGCCGAGACGCCAGGAAGGAGGTGCACTGGAAGGCCACCACGGGCCGGGGGAAGAGGCGCAGGGTGCGCGTGTGCATCTGGAACCCCTGGAGAACGTTCGGGGAGTTGAAGAAGCGCACCATGGCCACCCTGGAAAAGAAAGTTAGTTGTATGAGGAATTACTCGATGAGAAGTTAGAAAGTACGATCATTATTTTCATTAACATCGGTTGATTATTACGTCTCTTCATGACAGGGTCCATATTTCTCCCTGAGACATGCGATGTAATAATAATAATAATAATAATTAGGTGAGACGAATGTTCTGTTATTGTAAAGATTCATTTTTAGATTTTTTGTATCAGTAAGGAACACAGGTGGGGAGATAATTAGAGTAAATGTGGACGTGAATGTGTTATTTCAAATAATTTCTCAATAGAGAAATTTTAACCTCTGTATGTATCAGAAGAATGAGCTTTAGAAGTACCGAGGTAACCAGATTCCGTTTAGACAACAGACGGGAACATTCATAGCTTGCCTGGTGGCCACGTCCACAGAGTCGACGTCATTGCCGTAAATGAGCGGGTTGAACTCCGTGGAGGACGGCGAGGCCTTCTCTCGGCCCGGCGGGAGCAGCGGCAGCTCGTGACCTTCGTGGAACTTCTCCAGGTTCAGGATGGGCTGGGTGTTCAGACTCATGCTGGCCAAGGCCTGCAGCAGGTGACACGGACACACGTTAGAAACACAGCAGGGGATCATTGGAAGACAAAAAAAAAAAAACACAACACACGGACCACGCCCACGGTCGGCATCAACATTTAGTTAAAATATCAATTGCTACACTTAAATAGGACGTCTTGGAAATATTTGCCCTCTCTTTTGAGGGGGAAGTATTTGCAGCGGCAGGTACTTCTACATTCAAATATATATATATAAAGAAAGAACCCTTGTGGACTCAACATGAGGCAAGAGTCTGTGACAACCGGCAGGTTAAAAGTCACTTTTTTGTGGCCGTGGCCGAAGCTTTAAATATAACTTTAAAGCTATATTCGGGACAGCCCTGCAGACTACCGCGATGGGGACTCATGGGCCCGATTTGTCTCGACTCTTTCCCCCCCAACCAGCGGCTGTGGGGCGAGATCGGTGCATGTTGATGCCTCTGGTGGGCGTGTCACTTCTGCGAGGGAGGGAGTCAGTGTGCACGGTTCGCTCTGAGGGGGAAACTGCTGCAGACTCGAGAGTCAAACGTTTAGCTCAGCACCATGGAAGGTTTAGTCGCTGGGGTCAGGGCGAATGTTAAAACTGAAGAGTGGTTAGCTTCATCAGGTCTCCTTATGGTTACGAAGAACACTCGCTGATGCCAAGATAGCTGCAACGCACATTCAGTCACATTCAGTCATGCTCAAGCCAGAGCGAAGCAGTGCGTTAGAAAACAAACCAAAAAACGGTCCGCAGCGATGGCGCCGTTTACTCAAGTCTCTATTAGGGGACAACTTGGTCACAAGCAAACAATATAAGGTGAGAGAGAAGGTTTCCGTGCAGCGGCATCACACATTCCACGGGAGGAGAAACGAGTAACCTTATTTTCAGAGGAGAAGATCTGCTTTTGGGTGATCACGGTCAACCTAACCAGACACTAGGAGGGGGGGATAAGAGAGACGCGAGGAGAGTCACGTGAAGGGATGACAACTCGCAAGTGACACAGGAACAGCACGTGACGGGAAGCTCGCGGCCTTTTCCCTTTCCTTCCTTAGTCTCCTTTCAGCAGCCGTCTGTCTGAATAAGGATCATTATGTGGACGCCCAAACAGATCAAACTCGCTGAGGACATTAATTTGGTTTTATAGGCTTTGTCCCCGGAGAGACGCGTCTCGCCGGCTCATGATTTGTATTATTCATTTTCTGGAGAAAGGAGATAAGGAAAGATACATTTGTGTTTGTTTGTAGAAGTGATGGACGGCCAGTGAGAGCAGATGGAAAGAGGAAGACCAGAGCAGAAAGAGGAATACCAGGAAAGAAGAGATGTGGGATTTTTTTGAAATGCTTCACATGAAAGACAGCGAGGAACACAGACGTGACCGAACACCAGACTTCACCGACAGAAAGAAAGACACTGAGAGACACATGGAGGCGTCCATGGTGACCAACTGGGACAAAACCAGTGGTAACAATGGAGTGGTGATGACACGGTACGAAAACAGCAGATCTTTTCAGAGACATAGATAAAATACTTGCACAATAAAAGCACCTGCAGCAAAATAAAAGCCTCAATAAAAACAAAGTACTACTGCTGAGAAACAAAAAAAGAAGCCACAACTTAAATAACAATCACCGTTTTTTGGTCAAAGCAAAATAAATTTGTCGCTCGTTAGGACCAATTTATTTTGTATCCAGTGCAAATATTCACACATGAGCAACATTCTGCTTTTGGCATCACAGTCTTCAGATAATCGCTCAAAGCGTCTTCAGCAACATTTTCACAGATATCCATATTGTTGATATGCTTCTCATTTCCAAATATGCAACAGCTGAGGCTTTGCACACTCCTACACACCAGCTTCTCAGTCACACGCCCGCACACATGGGAGAGAGCTGCTAGCACACACACACACACACACACACACACACACACACACACCGAACCGGCTCTGATTCAAGGCATTTAGAACTCAGAACTATCTGTATGCAAAGATGGTGTCAAATAAAAAAAGTCTAGACATCCAAACTCTCCCTTCAATAGTTAGAATAGCAAAAAAAAAAACAACCGCAAAATCATTATCATTAAAAATTGATGCTCATTTTGTCCCTGTGTTGGTTAAATATAAATATATAAAGGTTTCCTCTGATGACACGCGGTGAATCCTTGATTCTGTGTGAGTCTGGAGGTCCTGATCAGACGGCTGCTGCAGCCTTTTAGAACTTCTCTGACCGACCGTGAAGCGCTGCTTTCGGAAGCAGTACTACGATCTGGAGTCATACATTTAAAACTGAGCTAAAAAGGTCTGTGTCAAGTGGCCTTTTTAGAAATAGGCTCTGATCAGGACTCTACTTCCAATGCATCCAGGTTCCCCCACGGAAAGATGAATTGGGAAATCTGATCAACAGGCAAACGTAAGAGCAGTGCTCCTCTGAATCAGACCCAGGTTCTGCTGTTGTGTTAGGTAATCGGGTTAGAGGGGTAAGTTAGTTACTAGCAGCATCACTAAAAGGTTTAGCTTGGGTGGTGGGGGCCTAGGATCTGATTTTACCTCCAACAGCTATAGAGCATGCAAAGAAAACAGGAAACAAAAGGGGAGAGAAAACATTTGTTTTACGTTAGTGCACCACAAATCATTTCAAATGCTCTCACTCTCATCTAGAATACATACAACTGCGTTGAAGAAGGAAGCCCCTACTCTTCACACTGCTGAAAGAAGAAGTTTTACATTTATATGAGCAATCAGTTGACGGCATTGAAGCAGTCGGAGCAGCGCCCGGGTTCATACGTTCTCTTCTCGGCACTGGAGCAAATAACACTGATCAGCATGGAAGAGGGACGACTCAAACCACAAGCACTACCTGCTTCAGGTGCTTCTTCAGCTCGCCCGCTTCGGGCTCCGGAAGAGGTGGTAGAATCTCTGCATTGGTTGGCGCTATGACCTGCAGGCAGAAAAATAAGAAAAGCATAAGAAGAACACGCGTGTGTTGCGTATGTGAAAAAGGAACACGGTCGGCGCGTTGACCTTGCTGCTGTCGAGGTCCACCAGCCACAAGTCGTCTGGCATTTTGAAATCAGCTTTGTAGAGGAAGAAGCTGGCTGGTACGCCGATGATGTAAGGGGTGGGGGCGAGGAGGAGCTGTGCGGAGAAAAACGTACCAGTCACTCACAACTTCGTGCAACAGCGACTAAGTCCCGCCTTCAAAAGTGCAGAGCAGCAGGAACTGGTTCTTACTGGTTGGAAGGAGATTTTTTTTTTTTCTCTAAATGTTTTGTTTCCACATAAAAACGTGAGGAGCGAAATCAGCACAGTAGATCAGAAAATCATCAACTAGCGTTAGCGCCGCTATGCAGCTACTAAAGCTGTACAAGATACAATCATTAAAATACAAATGGAGCATGTGTGGTAACGGTGAAAATCAAGAATATCAAGAAATGTGTCCGGAAGTATCACCTGCTCGGCAGAGGCCATGCAGGTGGGGAGTAAGGGGATGACGGGGAACATGTACTCCAGAGGGTAGATCATGGCAACAAAGGCCATGACGCTCATAGACAACGCATTGTAATCTCTGGACTGAAGAATGACCTGAGGAAAACAAAAGAAACACTTCTTTAAACAGACACCCGGATACCTCGTGGTCGGCTTTCTTTCATTGGATATATAACAGCAACATTAAAAACTGAGCTTATATAAAAATGTATTTGTACACTCGGCAGCATATGTGAAGTGCTTCAAAAAGGAAGTCACTCTAAAAGCTTCCAGGCGGCACTTTAGTTCGGCCAGACTGAATTTAAGATGAATTCACCTTGAGAAAAAAAAATAAAAGCCCAAATGGATGAATACAAGATGGCAGCATTTCATGCAGAAATGCATTCGCGGTGGTCGACCCCATTTTCAATCTGAATTTCAAGCTGGTGACATTTTCCACGGGGGGCCGTCATTAGATAGAAGAACATTGCATTTGGGTCAGGGAACATTCATTCAGGTAGATGGCCCAGATACATCCTGTATTTGAGAACCACGGAGAAAGAAAGGAGGCAGATGCATTGTGCAGGATGGAACCAGCAGTTTGGTCTCGGGAACGGTTGCAAATGAGGCTGTGCATCGATGTCACAGTAAACCAATAGCAACCACAGAACACTACACGCCAACAGCCACACGGGGATTTGAGTTACATCCCAGACACAAGAACGGTCTTTCCCCTTCAGTTGCACGGTGTCTTTTTTTTCCTCCCTTTCATTTGTACCCATCATGCTTTGTCTGCCCTGCAGTGAAGCTTCACTGCGGGCGAATCAAACAGAAAACGTCTGATGAAGGTCACTCTGGGTATTTCTCAAGGGGGGTCTTTGAACGAGTTTATCTGAGGACATGAACCCTCGGGGATAAACCAATGACCAATCGCAACACCTTTCTCCTTGAGACGATCAGGGGAGTCATTAATAAAACCACACTGGGGTTTTCTTGCGGCAGAAGGCGACGTCACATCTCCTCCTGGCAATAATGAAGAAAAGCAAAGACAGACTCCCGGCCGTGCGAAGCGACGGGAATCGTCAGGCCTCTTGAACTGCTCATCGGTTCCGTACGAATAATCTTTCTTGAGCAGCAATTCAAAAAGTTCCAAAATCAATAAATATATCTGCACCGTAGCAATTAACAAAGCTCTAAATCATTAGCCAATGAATAACCTTCTCTCTGCAGGGGTGTTGGGGGTGGGGGTCCGTACCTTGTGCTCTAGCAGGATGCAGCTGAGGACCTGGAGACAGGCGTCCACGCCCAGCAGCTCCAGGGGCAGGTGCAGGGGGAAGTCCACCATGGAGAAGCGGGAGTTGTCCGGCAGGGCGAAGGTGAGTGCCCGTTTGAGCTCGTGGGGCAGAACCTCCACGTCCACGCGTCTCTGCCCGGCCACCGGCACCGGGGAGCGGAGCAACCGGTACACCCAGGACTCGATCTCCCGCAGGTCGGCCAGCAGCTGGCTGCTCTTCTCTTCCACCGACAGCACGCCGGTGAACACGCGCCACATGGTGTCCCTGCAAGGGCGGACACAGAAACAAAAGATACTGAATGCAAAATGATGTAAAGGAGAGAGAAGGAACGTGGACATCAAATATGACAAGCTAGAATTTCTGGCGATTTGGTTCAAGACTAATATTTTCAGAAATAGCTGCAGAGGCTTGAAACCTGTAATATAGCATGAATAACCAAATTTTACTTTTGGTGTACTATGAGATTAGATTTTTAAGATAAGAAAAACTAACGTGCAGGATATTTTAAGCTCAACAAGTAACATGAATTGATGGACAACCGTCATTACTAGAATTTTAAAACTGATGAAACAACGAAGCCATCAATATAACGAGCAAATGAGGATTAAAAACACCAAAATATTGGTGCAAACCCTCCATTCCACACACCCACACAGTGTCATTACACCCGCTCTGGAGTGTGTGTGTGTGTGTGTGTGTCGTAAGGAGCGAGATGAATCATTATCCCTCCCACCAACTGCAGCTGCTACCCAAAGGCAGCCAGAGACCTCAATCTGTCAGAGCCTCCGCAGCATAGAGGGCGCTCATTGCCACTTCTCAACCCGCCGCGTTTTCCGAACAGCCCTTTTTTTCCTCCAGGCCGCCGGAGAAGATGGATCGGCCGAAGCGTTTTCCCAGAGGAGAAGAAATAAGCTGTGCGTTATCACGAGAATCCCTCATAGTGACGAGGGGACGGTTTGGAGGACTGTGGGGGGGGAAACACAGTCCTGCCTGAGCCAGTGGGAGGCGACGGCCCAATTAACACGCTGCCACTCCAACATTGCAATCTATTCGGTTACCAAGGACAACCGAGAGCACACTGCAAATACTGCTGCATCATAACAACGTACGGCCTGGGATGTTTTCCACAGATTGAACCAGATAACAATCAAATGCAGCTTGTTGGCTAAAAAGAAAAAAAAACTCATTACAAAATGATAAATTATTCTTTTAAAAGCTGTGTGTGAACCACGCTGCTCCGACATTGTTTATTTCAACGCATCCAATTTAACCAAACAGGCGCACGACTGAAAAGCAGCTCAATCAAAACTCTTGCGTATCCGACTGAAATTAACAAAACAAAAACAACATTTAAAACTGTTTTGGTCCCAGACAGCCGAGGGTGAAATATTGTTTGCTCTGATGTCAAACGTCTTACACGCACTCTGGGTATTTTGTTTGCCTTTATTTATCATGGGAGGTGGAGTGAGATAGCATAAAGCGTCCTGTAAAAACATGACAGAGGCTGCAGATGGCCTGCAGGACTGCACGGAGCCAAAAACAAAAGCCCCGGTATCAATGGTGCAACACAAACATACAGATAGCAGGTGGACAATGGGAGAAGCAGTCGACGGCTGTTTAGCTTTGGAACAGTACAACCAAGTGAAAAGGATTGTAATGGGTTTCATGAATAACTTGATGATGCCTCTTAACAGCTTAAGGATAATGAAGACAGATTATCAAGCAGGAGTCGTTTTCCTGCATTCTGAAGCATGCGATTTAATCTTTTCTTAAACACACAGTATTGCATGTACAGATTTAAAAAAGGGGGAAATTTTGTATACGCAAGACTTTCTGCCCCCGGCTCTCTAGAGGCCTTTGAGGTAACTGCAGTCCACAAGAAAAAATTCCAAGGAGTCATAATCAAGTATCTGCTAGCGTGGAAGTTTAGGCTATGGTTTCATTAAAGGAAAAGGGTTTGCTGCATGGCACCTGCCGGACGATGAGTCGACATTTGGCCTGCAGCAGTGCCAAAAGCAATAAGCGTTCCTTATCTGGCCAGCGCGACTGTCAATGTTTTCACAGCAACCAGCCAGATGGGGCCTTTTTAAGCAGACTGTTTGCTATAACAGACTGTCTACCATACATGAATATTACACAAAAACACGCATATCTTTATGTGCAAATAAATGACACACGGGAAAAAAAAATACAACAATAAAAGAAAAAAGGAAAAGTGACAAAAAGGATCAGCGTGCGTGGGTGAAGATGCAATGCGGCTCCTCACCTCTGGGTGGCGCGGGGGAGCCCGGCTCGCTGAGTTAGCCTCTGGCTGCAGCAGTCCACCAGCCTCTTCAGGATGTACAAGCACTCCCTGAAGGTGGAGATGAAGGGGTAGTGGCTGATTATGCACAGCGAGGTGAGCGTGCTGTTGCGGTTCCTGGCCGCCACCTTGGCGGCGCTCCGCCTGTGCTGCGGCGACTTGCCGGCGGCCGGCGGCCCGCCCTCTTCTCCGGAGGCGGGGCCGGCCGCCGACTCGCCGCTGTTTGCCGGCGACGGCCCGCTGCCGTCCGACCAGTCGCTGTTGGTCTCGGCGGCCTGCGCCGCGTGGCCGCTCTTGTCCCCGCGGGCGCGGTGGTGCCCGCGCTGGAAAGAGCGGTAGAAGTTGACGCAGATTCCGTAGCGGGTTATCCCCGAGTCCTTGTCCGTCAGCGTGAAGACGAAGGAGGAGTCGTCGCGGAGGCTGACCCGTCGCTGCCGTATGCTCAGGCAGCCCTCCGGCTGGCAGAAGAACACCACGTCGGGTGGGAGCGGGAAGTCGTGGTGGTCCTCCAGCGGGTAGCGGCGGAGGAGCTGAGGCGTCTGGGCCACACTGTCACTGCTCGGTTGCCTGCGGGGGAGATTGAGGAAGGAAAATGAGGAAAAACCCACGTTTTAGGTACTTTGTTCCATTGCGTCTTTGCTAAGCCCCGCCCCCATCATGAAACTCTTGTTCAAGCTAACATGAAGCCCACACGCATCTCCTGCGGCGTGTTACACAACGTTTAACCACGACGAACATCGGCCGCTATCGATGACCGTCGATGGAGCAGAGCGTGACAGTTGGCTGATGCTACGCTGTGATTGGCCGGTCTGCACTCCGGTCAATTCGGTTTTAACGTCTCACATCTGCCACGTCTGCGAATCCATTACCGCTCGAGCGTAAAAAAAAACGGTTTTGAATTTGATTTGATCATTAGAGAGATAAGAGAAGCGTTTCGTGAAGAGGGTCATTTGAAAATGAATTGACCAGAACTGGAGGAGCTTCTCACCTGGCGCCGACCACCACCAAGTAGTCCAGAAGACGGGGGCACGTTTTCTTTTTCTCCATCTTGGACCGATGGCGTCCCGCACGTCACAGCGTCCAGGATTTGTGTTCCCTGTTGAGTCAGCGCTGCTTTCTCATCACAAGCGGGAGAGTTCAGGTGTGAAGTTGAAGAGCAGCGGCTTGATTGTCATTGTGATGAAATCAAAAAAGGAGTCAAACCTGTAACACAAGACAACGAGGAACAACTTAACTTCATTCCTTCCTGATACACGGCAGCTACAACAATCGAGCGTTAAAACAGAAAGAAAAAGTGAACTGATATCCGCTTGGTAAATGGATATGAGACGTCTGCGCGGGTCAGATCACAGGCCGGACCACCGGGAGGCGGGAGGATGGGGGGGGGGGCGCATCGTGAAAACAAGTGTCGGTTTCTCTGTAGCTACTCGTCTTAAAAAGGGATAAAGGCGTCTCAGTAGAGGCTCAGTGAGATGTAAGCAGCTGAGGGGCCTGGGTGGAATAATCCCCCCCCTTCATGAACTATGGCCATAAATCCCCGGAAGGTACCTGCAGCCCCTCTACAGACGGCCCCCCGCCACCACGGAGCTCCAGTCTCCATCGACTCAGACGCGAAAAACTGTCATCTCCATACATTGTTACAGGGGCGAGGTGGAGAGATTAGAACAGTAAAAGTTTAACACTTAAGTCCCTGTGAAAGAGAAGCTGGAGCTTCTATGTTGTCAATCATGAGAAAGATTTGGGGAAACAACAATAGTTGCAGCTGATTGGTGGGCCGCCGTAGGTCTGATGGAATGAGGTAATCCGTCATTAGTCGCAGCGGGGGAAGCGGCCACGTCCATGCTGCCAAAATGAGGTCACGCCATCAGGAACCGGAGAACTTTGAGGATGTGGTGTTTGGTGCGAGGAGAAAAAAAAATGCCGACTCTCACTCTTCATGCTCCGTATTCCTGGTAGCTAAACCCGTGTCCCTTATCACATATTTGACTCCATGGTTAGTTTCACAGACACCCGACAGCGGCCACATTAGCAACATTAAACCACGCGTGACGAGCTACAGGATCTACTTTGTGTCACGCCACGGCCAACGGCCTTTTTACCTACGCCACCTTTTACCAACGGCACAGTCACGAACTCCACCCTGGAACGCAAACACTGTCCCCAGAGCAGCGCCCCACAGAGGGTTGTTATCCCTCCACTGATAAGCTAATGGATGCAAAATGTAAACGGCGGTTGTGCATTCCGATAGAAAGAGGAAGTGGAGCATGTGTGCGCTGTCCGCGATCCTGGGAATTTCACCACTGTGGGACTAACAAAAAGGAATATCTTGTTTATTCTATTAAAAGAAGAAAATGTGAATTCTGCGCATTCATTTTGGGGAATTCATTCAAATCAAAAAGGCCTCGGGTAGAAATGCTTGGAAGTTCATACTTAAGGCATTTAACAAACGTATAACTGTCATTAATAACTATAAACTTTGTTGCAAAGATAAAATCAACCCACAACAACCTCCACGTGAAGAGCAGGACTGAACCTCAGTGGATGGACATTCGGACGAGCCCCAGCAGCATGTGTCCATGAAGGAGGGGGGGGGGGCTTTATCGCAGAGGGCTCCGGGTGCATTATGGGTCTAATTATGTCTAATAGCTCCACTCGAGAGGAGCCATTCACAGCGGGACGTACTGAAGACGTGAGCTGGCCACTTAATGTAACGTGATGGTAAAATGGTGACAACTAAATTGCAGATTAGATCCACCACGAAAAGAGCCATTGTGACGGACACATTAGCGAAATAATAAATAAAACACGCAGCTTCAGAGTTCTCAACGAGTAACCGTCCAATGCAGCGGAGTTTGGTGTGTACAGTAACATGAGAAGGCTTATGTCTGGAAATATGTCGGGCTGAGTCAGCTTACTGTCGTCTCTTATAGAAATACGCAAATGTGCCGCTGGGCTGACAGCGTGCTGCCGGCATTAAACAAGAAGACCCAAGCAAACCATCACTTACAGGCCTTGGAATATCTGCACAGACCGTCTCTTCTTCACGCGGTTCTATCTTTATCCTGAAGACGACGCGAGTCCTGAAACACAAGCCTGGTCTTCAGGGACCAGATACGGCTCAGAACATCATGAATTAATGAGCTGCAGGAACCAGGATCATTGGTGTTTCTGTGCGTTAAGAATCATCAGGTTTCGTTTAAACATGAGTTGTGGGTTGCTATCTAGAATTAAAATAACAACAATAACACCAGCAACTGGACGGAAAATTCACGTCCAAATAAAAGACTTAAGAGTTTAAGTTTGACACGGGCAACAAACCAAAGTTGATGCTTTTGTCAGAGAACTTGAGCAGACGTCCGTGATTATTTTGTAGATCTTTAATTGCCCGTATTCGCTAATCTTCTTTTAAACATGGTTATTAGGTTACCTAAATACGAGTGTCCTGGGAAAAGAGAAGTTTATTTAGAAAAGCCTCTCGGGAAGTGATTTTGTAGGAACGCGTTGAGAACGGAGGCGTGAGTTGTGGTAAGATATCATCGCCGCTGTCCGACGGTACCGTGTACAGAAAGTAATTTAATCGAGTCAGGAGGAGGCCTGAGGAGGTGCCCCCCCCCCCCCTCGTTTGGAGCGACAACCCCAACTTTGGTCACAGCGAAGGCTCAACACGGAGCAGGAGAGATCTCCTTCCTGCAGCGAGGGTCCGGCCCACGCAGAACACACAGCCCGCCCTCCGTATCTCGCAGAGACCATCGGGACAAATGAATCAGCGTGCGGGTCTGGCGGCACGAACGCTTCCTGGTGCAGAGCCAAACCGGGTATTTTCTGAAGCGGCAGACCGATCCGGAGCCACTGCATCACTTCAGATGAGGGCGGACGGGCTCGGACGCGTCGACTGGCCGTATCCGATGAACAAGCTTGCTTTGCAATCCGCTTCTTCTCTTAAAAATATTAAGAAACTGAGAGCGACACAAAATGATGGCCACGGCACGAGTGAGATAATGAGGCATGTTAAAACAACAGATGCATCTGCAGGGCGGCGTCGCTGCTTATGTAAGCACGGAGAGGAAACAGACGCGATTCACGGGCCTCGAACATCGATAGTCACTCTGAAGAGAGGACACGAAAAGGAGAGGGAGATGAAGTGGGGGCATTAGGCAAGTATGGATCTTCGCCTTCCCACTTTTAGATTACAATGCTTCGCTTATTAATCAATCACAGAACGTTCCACGGCTGATGGCACAGATATGAGGACTATTTGGTTCCCTGTCAATAAAAATGATGAGCAGAAAATGAGCCGGGATCTCTCCTACCTCGGAGAGAAGAGCGCCATGCTTTCCTCTTATTCACGTTTCCACTTCTCATTTCAGGTCCCGTGCCTCCAAAGCACGTTTGGTGTTCGCTTTTCCACAGGTAATTACAAAGGAATATGCTAATGTTTGAATCGTGTGAGGTAAACAGGCGCCGTTCTCACTTCCCCTTTAAGTAACACAGCAGAACGCATTAAACAACAGTGATAAGACAAGTTCACCCTGTAATACACCAGCGCTCTGACATCAGCTGTGAAACCGTCACACGGTGGATGATGTATTCACCCCACTTGTCACTGTTTTATTGTCCGCCTGTTTTCAATCGATGAGCCACGATGTTAATAAATCGACTTCATTCAATTGATGGTTTCTATTGCATTTTATTTGCACTCTATAGTTTGCTCCTTTTTCCACACATTTTATTCTTACAATTTAAAAAGTTTTATCTATCCGACTGAGCCGATTTTACAAAATGTTATCATCATCATCAAGTTTACCTTCAGGATCAATAAAGTTGATGTTACCTCGTCTGATTTCAGAAATAAAAAGCTGGTATCCTCCATCTACGGCTGCTTAAACGGTCTGAGCATTCTCTACTAAAATAGACCTCATAACGCCATCAGTTCTGCTGATGGCGTTGCTTGATTGTGGCAATGTTACGTAATCACGCTTCTCCTGGAGGCCTCTTGACTCAACGTCTCAGTGCACTTCATCACAGGAGACACATTTCAGCCTTTATAGAAGGGTGAATAGTCCTATTGTGTTACTGCACACATTGTGGCGTTAGCTCCTTTCTCTGCTAGCATTTAAATCATTATGTCAGATCACAGGACATTTTAACATATTAGTCGACACAGAAACCCTAAACTGTATAGAATGAGCTCCAAAAGACAAAGATTACACACGTCATTTTATTCCACGTGGTGGTTTTAAAAGGTTGTACTTGTGTATTTGAAATGTCACTTCCTATTCATTCCAGCTTCGACCTCATTGAGACCTTTAAAATGAACACATGAAACAACAGGACGGCACAGATTCATTCATTCATTCACCGGCAATAACCTCTGCATTTACTCCGAAATGTGGTGGTTTGCCCTCAACCCCTCAGTCGTGTTGGTTTTGACGTCGTGTGTAGTACAACGGGACCGCACAGCGATGCTGTGACCGGGATGAGCGTCCGAGGACGCGGTTTCGGCCGGAACGGGTGTCGGTCACCGGCAGCGGTGGCTGCGTGGTGTGTGTTTTACAACCCGGCGACGGAGCTCCGCCGCGGGGGGGGGGGGGCGCGGCGCAGGACCGACGCCGACGCCTCCCCGGCAGCTCCAGCTTGTTATCGGGGTTCAGTGAGCGTTTACGACGAGCTGCCGGGCCTCAGCTCGTCCTCCACGTTCACCCCTAAAACATGCATCGGCTCGCCTCCGCTCTGCTAGCCGAACGGGTTTCCACGTCACGGGTGGATTAGCTAGCTGGCTAGCTGGCTAGCTAAATCTCCCTAGCTACCGTTCGCAGCTAATGTCAGCTGGTTAGCTAACGGCGACCAACAGACGTTAGCTGCTAACGGTAGCTCGAGTGGCCTATCTCGTAATATAAGGACCTGTCAAATGTTTAAAAACAGCAGCAGCCGCAGCACCGCGAAGCCGTAGCCCCAAATGCATTTAATTGGTTGATATAACAGCGAAGTCGAGGGACAACCTCCTTACCTTCTGCTAGCGTTAGCCGGTTAGCCGCTAACGATTCGCTGCAAACACCAGCAGCTGATGACGGCTCGGGAGGGACGGGGACCCCTCCGCGGTCACAGAGGGAGGGGGGCGGGGTGGTCCGTGCAACGCAGCCTGCCTTATTTCTTTATCTTTTATATCATCCGTGTGACATTTGGAAATGTCGGCTGAAAAGAGGTGACGACTTCCTTCAACGGGCTCGCTGCGTTAATGAGTGATGCGGTGTGTGTGTGTGTGTGTGTCCGCCTCTTGATGAAGGGCTCAGTCACAGACCTGCCTTCACAACATCCTCCTCCTTCTCATCAGCATTCTCTCTCTCTCTCTGTTTGACATTATCACTTAAAGACTTGATTTGTTTCCATACTGCCACCACTCACTCATCTTGGTTTATTATTAATACACTAAATTGCACTTCTGCTGCTCCGATGTCTCTGTGCAAGGTCAAAAAACGATTTAATCTCGCTGTATAATCCAATATACTGGTGCTTTCATTTGGAAAGAGGACAAAAAACATGCTTCCTCACAGTGTTGTGTCCCCTGTGCAATTTATGATGCTTAAAACTAACTAAATGAAATGTTATATTGTTCAGTAATTAGGTGCTGATACACACATTTCACCAGTCCACAAAAATAGGTTGCAAATCCAAACAGTTATAGACACAACTTATTTAAATACCAAATAAATCAAGGTATACGTTTGAGTTCCCCCCCCAAATGTGTCCGATTTGACTCTGAGCATCAACACCTCAAGAAGATCTGACCGAAAAACAAAAATGATAGAGATCTCAAACACATGAGCACTACAGCATCGCTTTAATTTATACTGTACATACAAAACAGAAGGTCTTCATGAGTTACAAGTATTAAAATAGGTTTGCATTTCTATACATAAACAATGTTTACAGTGTCACCCCTCAAAGACAGGAAGTAAATGAGATCAGAGAGGACGATTACAGTATATACAGCACAATTAACCTCTGCGACAAACCGATTCGACATGTACACGCCAGAAAGAAAGAAGTGGGTTTTTTGCTTTGATCACAGCGCCATTTCACGGTGGGAATCCCCTTAATAATACAGAAGCTACTCCTTTTTAAACGTGATGGTTAGTGTTTGGCTCTAGGTAACCTGCAAGAGAACAAAACAAAACACAAAATTCATTTTAAAAAAAAGGAACCCAAAAGAAAAGAGGGGGAGAAAAAAAAAAAAAAATCAATTATACGGTTTCAAAATGCTGCACACGCTGGTTATTCTGCTTCTTTTCATATTTATTGACCAGTCGGAAAGAAATATATTAAATACATTAGGTTAGGGTTAGAGGAATATCAGAAAATCAATAATTATTAATGGAGCGTCAAAAAATAATAATAATAATAATAAGAAGGGGGGTGGGGGGGGCAAAGCGGCTCGATACGACACGCGATGAGAAAATGTCTTTTCATTGTACTTTGTCAGATTACTCGTATCAAGCTTGACTTTTAATTCAGGCGACATTTGTCTCCCTGCAGGAATGAAACCGAAGCTCCTCGAGTTGCCTTTAAATAGATCGCTTCCACTGAGGCAGCAGGAGATGACTTTATTTTTTTTAAATCCCCTCAACAGAAGCCTTTTTGTCTGCGTTCTTTTTTTTCTTTTCTCCCCAAGCATCTGAGGAGGAAGAGGAAGGAAGAGCGCGGCGGTTACTATTGCTCGTGACCACTGTGAAGAGGGAAAACATCCACTTGTCTGTGGTCGTTGCAGCGACCAATAGGCGGCGCTCACCGTGTTCTGCCTGAGGTCAAGAAAGCGGTAAGAAAATCAACAAATGTATTTATGCGTTTATCGTGGAAAAACTGAAGGTCAAACAATAAAATCTTGACTTAATATAAAGTTGTATTTGCAAAAGCTGCAATGTTCAAGAGAAAATGTCTGCTGTGGATCCAAAATTTAGATTGGCGATAAAAAAACTATGTACACTAAAACCATTTGTGAAGGTCAATGGGTGTCGTTAAATTGAACAAAGATATTATGCAATAAACATTCTTGGATGGAGATACAGAAAATAAAGACAATTCAAGTTACAAAACTCAAATTACCAACATACAAAATTAATCTGGAATAAATCAAAACTGAGCCTTTGTTACTGCAAGTCGCACATTTGAATTAAAAACCAAAATAATTTGTACTGCAAATGGTTAAAAAGAAAAAAGAAAAGCAATACAGTAAATTATTTTAACCGGAACCCTGTAAAAACTATGTTAGGGCATTTAAAAAAAAAAAAGCTTTTTAAATTAAAATTGTAATAAAATCACAGAATTTGCATCAATGTTTCTTTACCGTCCGTTATGCATTTCAAGTTCACGCTGCACAGGAGAAAGCATGAAGCTCGAGCACCTCGAGCAACGCCTGCAGTCAGAAGGTTTCTTAGAACTCAAAATGTCCACGTTTCAACTCCTTCACTGATCTTTTGGTTGTTTTTTTCCTTCACAAGACTTCTCTAAATCCGACCCATTAAAGCTGTTGTTGCTCAGGAAGATACTTTAGATGGAGATTTTCCCTCAGTGTCATTCACACAGTAAGTTATCAAAAAATAAAAACGCTAAAAGCTCTATATGCGTGTTGCTTGTACATTTCTCACACCTTTAAACGCTAGTGATGAAAAACAAAAAAATCGAAATATAAACGGCTTTGTAATAAAATCAATAAAAAGTGCCTTCGGCATCCACATTACTGACAAATAAGGTGATGATAGAGGGAGGCTCTCCTATCAGGATGGACTTCTTAGGAGGCATCTCAGCGTCTTTTAACCGTCGTTAAATTTTTATGAGAGTAGCAACGATTTCAGGGTACCGGTGCCGAGTGAAATGAGGCTCTCGTCACATTAGTCGTCACTTGGCGAGGGCGCGGCGGGCAGAGTTCTACCTTGTCGTGCATCGAGTATGTGATTGTACAATCCCTGTGTGCGCTCTACGCCTTCTCTTTACAGTGTGAAATAAATATAGAATTTACACCCACGTTAATGGGCGGTTCTAAATGGCCGAGAGGTAATGCAGCAGGAGGAGAAGCCTCCGACTCCCACAGGCGTACTTCACACGGCTCCACCTGAGCAGCAGCGACTCCGACCTTTTTTGTTTGATTCCTCACTCCGACCGGAACAGATGCCGCTTGTTGCTATATATCACAATACAAACCACATGGCCTACCACTTTAAGTCCGCACAACCGCAAATATTTATAGATATACAACTACGTGAAGTGAATGTGCAGCTGTGATCCTGATGCCGGAGCCCATTAAATCATACAAGATGCGTGTAGAACTGGACTAGAAATCAACAGAACTTTAAAAACAGGAATTAAAAATCAAGGAAAACTTGAACACTGGCCAAAGAGCCCTATTAAGCTGGAATTTGATAATCGCCATAATCATGTCAGCATCTAAAGACAACCAAGTGTTCAGGTTTCACCATTTAGAAGCTTGAGAGCAAAGGAGCGACGACGCTTCCCCCCCCGCCTCCCCCACGGGAGATAGATTAAAAAATAAAAAAAAGTTCCTGCTGCGCTTCAGAGAAAGACTATGCGTGTGTGCGTGTGTGTGTGTGTGTGTGACGTCACTCGTTGACGTCCCAGATTTCAGAGAGCAGCGGGGGAAGCTTCTTGTCCTGGAGGCGAAGGGCGAAGACCTGCTCCGAGTGGACGCTGCTCAGCGTGCGAAGGCTCACCAGCTTCATCAGCATGCGGGGAAACATCAGGTGGTCCTGCGGAAACCGTTAGAACACCGCGATTAGACTTGTGGGGAAACACACGGGAGACGTCCTGCACCGCAGTCGCCTCGGCGACGTGTCCGAGGCGACTGCGGCTTTCGTGACGCAGGCGACCAGGTTGCGTCGGCCGCCAGGGGAAAAGGTTACGTACGCTTACATTTGGTCTCTTGATGGAGATGTAGGAGCGCAGCGCGTCCACGTAGGGCTGCTGCAGCCGCTCCACCAGGTCGTGATCCTGCACGTTGGGCCGATCTGAGCGGGGTTTTCACCAGACAGAAGCTTTCGTTTACGGGTTGACTCGTGTTTCGTGACGCCCTCAAAAGACTTTTCACTTTGGAAAGGAATGAGTTCAGGAATTCTGACCTGCGGAGAAGATGTTGATGGCGATGAGCAGCGCGTACTCGGCCTCGTCCAGGTGCAGGTCATTCATTCCTTTAGAGAACTCGAAGATGGGGTTGATGAACTCAAACTGAAGCCCTGGAGAGGCCAGAGTACAAACAAGGACAACAGCTTTAAGCAGCTCGCAACACAAGTGGAATAAAAAACAAAAATGATTCCTGAGGTTTAGAAATTAACCGGTTAATAAATATGCATAAGGAAATTAACCTGCTTTGGCGAAATCCTCCTTGTTGTAGCTGAAATCCTTCAGGAACGTGATGCTATCAATAGCAGGGTTGTAGCGCCGGGACGTCTCCAGCAGCATAATCTGGAATATTACACAGACACACACAAAATGAGACCGTTTCAGTGCCATCATCTCCTGAAGGCGTTGGACCTAGTTTGCATGTTGCCGACTAACACCAAACAAATTTCAAAGTCCATTGTTCCATTTTCGTAAAAGTTTTCGACAATTATTTCAGACTTGAAGCCGCTGTAGGAAGCGTTTGGCGCGGAGAGTAACGACCAACCTCAATGGTGGACGTCTTCAGGAGAGCGATCTGGTCCTCCCGCGTGAGCTCCAGGAAACCAGGGAGCTGCTTGGCGAAGTCCACGATCTCCTGCACCGACATGATGGCGAGCTCGGTGAAGTGGGCGAACCGCTGCTGACGCACTTCTCGGTTCAGCAGGTCCTGACTCTGCGGCCACGGCTGTCAGATTCACACACGAGCAGAGAAAGACACGCGGATGAAATGAAATATTCAAATCGAACTAACCAAACTAATTAAACAATATTAAAATGGGAGAAATTACTTTAGCGCGCGCCATAAAATCAAATTCGCGGATGCAATACAAGCCCCGCCTCCCTGAGACAAACACTTCATATCTATACAGCCTGTGTGTTTTATGATGACACTGTGTGCAAGAGTACAAGGTTCTTATAAATCCGGCCTCTTAAGAAAAAGCAGGGTTGAGAATTGAATAAAAAGAATGATGTTGTCAAATGTCGACAAATCAATAAATCAAATTCTCTGACAAACAAAAAAGAAGCCCCCCCCATTTCCTTTTACCCAAATGTAATATAACAATCATCGTCTTCTATAAGTGAGTAAAAACTGTTGTCCACTCTTAGAATGATGCGGTTACAATTAATATTGATGGTTTTAGGGGCGTGGCTTTGGACTCGTGCTGCATTCTGTGGTTGGGAAGACTCGTCAAAATCCAGCTGCACTCACCGTGACTCCGGGTCGGTCCAGGAAGGACCTCTTGTTGCATTGCTTCTGCATGGCCACCAGCTTCTCGATCATCTCCTGCTGCTGCGGCTCCAGCGCCACCGTCTCCTGCGGCGGCGTCGGCGTGACCACGGCGGACGAGCGCGCCGTGTCGTCCTCGTGCTGCTTCTTCATCTTCTTCACTCGGATTTGCTCCTCGGAGAGCACGCCTGCAGGTGCGTCGGGGGGGGGGGGGTTAAAATGATATATTCCCTCTTCGACTCACCCGCTCTCCCCCCCTCCTGAGAAACGCAGCCACTCACACTGCTCCAACATGCCGGCCTCCCGACACTTGCGCAGGCGGCACTGCTGGCACTTGCGGCGCATGTACATGTCCATCTCGCAGCGGCCGCTGTTCTTGCAGTTGTACTGGGCGCTCTTGATGACGCTGCGGCGGAAGAAGCCCTTGCAGCCCTCGCAGCTCAGCACGTTGTAGTGGAAGCCCGAGGCCTTGTCGCCGCACACGCTGCACACCTCGTTGCCCAGCATCTTCGGCGCCGGTCCCTTCTTCCTCTTCACCGGCTGGCCGTCTTGAATGAAAAGAAAAAAACGTTCCACAGATGATACACAAGGCCCACTTTGGTCACGCCCACTGCGTACGACGCTACACAGTTATTCTAAAAAAAATACATGGTTAACCCCCAAATCAATATGCAGACATTTAATAAGGAGCTTCATGGTGTAACTATTCAAATGAATTTGTTCTGCAGTTAGATGTCAAAGAATAGAAACTAAACTAATGCAACAGGAAATGAGTGTGCCCACAACTGGAGCATTAAAAAAAGGGCTAAATATGAGCAGGTCTCATCCGAGATCAAGAGATGAACAGAAAGAAACATTATCCGAAGCCTGCGGTAGATTCTACATTTATTCTACAATATCTATTCAATCCCAATGTTATGATCCCCGTTTGCTTCTTAGTCATCAATAGATACCAAAGTGGGAACTTTCCTTTTTTAGAGTGGTGACACATGCAGTGATGATTAATGGTAATAACTACCCCTTTTCTCTCGATATGAAACCGGTCACTCCCACAGAAAAGGATGTGAACCATTTAGTTGACCTTTCACGCCCAAAAGGAGTTCCTGGATTTTTTTGTCCAGTCACATTTTTCTCTGAACGCCTTATTTTGCAAAAAAATGAGAAACAGTGGAATCTAAAAATTGGTGATTCATGTTAGCAGCAGCTCAGAATATCTGAGGATGTAAAGCTTTTTACAGGTTGTATAGGACATTATATAGGAAGCGTTTCAAGAACAGTCATAAAATTGAAGCTGGAGTGAAATGATGTTTTTTAAAGCTTCGTTATTCTTCCTTTAAATACTTTTAAGCGGTCTTTCGCTCACCTGAGCCGGCGGGTGCGTCGCCAGCGGACAGATCCGGCTTAATGTCGCTGGGCTCCCCCGGCAGAGGGCTTCTCATGTCGGTCGGCGGCAGGCCGTTGTGGGGGGGGGCGGGGAGGTCGTCTGGCTGGGAGAGGTCAGCCAGCGACAGCAGGCCGCCGTGCTTCATTGTGCCGTTTCCGCCGCCCTCCTCAACCAAGCAGTCCAGCTGCAGCTCAGAGGCCCCGACAAACACCTTCCTCTCATCTGAGACACGCAGACCGGAGACAGGTGTGCAAAACAAGCGCTACACACACACATATGTATACTGTCATACTCATAAGCACTACTTTCTACTCTTTAGAAATGAAAGCATTGCAGTCCCATCAGGAGGCATTTACTGAAAATCTTGTTAAGTGGACGAAATGATAGATTTATAATAATATAGATATATGAAAAAGAGACTAAACAGACTAGACAGCCTCCCCTTCAACAAGAAAGGAATACAAGCTTTCTGGCATATTAAAACTCTGCGTACTTAAGACAAACACACACGCACTTACCATGACCAACATCTGGGATATCAGTCACAGGCAGCGTGGACATCTTCTGCACAGCAGCTTGTCATTACGAAATCAACGTGCACCTGTGCAACAAAAAGGAACGAGCTTCCTCAGTGGTGATCGGGGAGATTGTGCACGTCTGGACACGCGGCTCAAAGACGGGTGACGAACTGGAGAGGAACGTAAATCTCCCCACAGCTTGCACGTAGGCCGTGTACATGGAGAACAGGCGTGTAGTTACACAACGGGAAAGGGAAGTTACCAGAACGTGAGCTGCAAACAGCAGAAACACCAAGGGGTCCGTGTGTGTGTGTGTGTGTGTGTGTGTGTGTGTGTGTGTGTGTGTGTGTGTGTGTGTGTGTGTGTGGACCAGCTGCAGAAGCAGAAATGAAAGCGTGTCATGTGCAACATACAGGTGCTTTTCAGGAAACTGATTCTGCAGACGCAGGAATCGGAGCTATTCTTAAGCGGCCTGCGAGGCGGAAACTGGGGTTTATAAATAAAGACGCTGCGCAGTTTGGAGTGACAAATAAAACAAGCTTTAGGAAAGATATCCAAGGTCCATTATTATTTGACGAATACGACATATATTGGGGAAGTTGCGACTGCTTCACAACAACTGCCAGATTATCAAGTCAAGCTAACTAAAACTGATAAAACCACCTCTGAATTCTTACTATAAATGTGCTACATGCTTGTTAAATGTGAAGAAGTTGTTTCCAGACTTACATTAAAGCCTGTAAAGTGGCAGAAAATCAGTCCGTTATAATGTAGCCTTCAAAGAGCACAATCTAAATGTGGCGTGTTAATCTCCATCCAGCCCAATAACTGGTACCTAATGAGCTCCTTTCATTTCATGAGCAAGTGGTGAGAAGAGACGGAGAGGAAAACAAAAACTAAATTGTCAACATACGATTTGTGATTGGTCTCTTTTTTTTTGTCACAAATAGGAATAAATGTTACACAATATGAATAAATGTTACCCATTATCACTCAAGCTACTAACAATTTCAATACGCCAACTGTGGACCTTCAAAGCTGATGACAGCCTGATACGATATGAGAACCAACAGTTGATAAAAAGCAGCGTCAAATTAAAGTCAAGTTTAGACAGAAACCATATAAACCAATTCGCTGGGACTGATATTGATCTCTAGGACCCACAATAAACACAACAAGCACGACTGGTTCACGATAGCAGTGATCATCGTCGCCACTGATACTAAAAACTACAGTAAAGGAAAACTTTCACACATGTAACACCAGGCAGTATGACAGGGACTAAAACTAAAGATGTACAAATACCAGAAATCTGCGACAGACTTATTCATGTTTTATATACTGCAATTATAATTTGAAATTTCACCAATGTGTTCCTGAATTAAAAACATTCAAACTTAAAATGGAAGCTTTTCTTTGTAGTTTTCCGTCTCTCTCCGTACAGCTGATTGATGATGATTGAATAAAAGCAGGTATCTCTAACAAAGTCTGCCTTTAAAAAAAAAAAAAAATCAACATCTCACGTAGAACTTTTCCAATAACTCGCTGAGCTCAACCCGCGTTGCAACGTGTCCGACTGAGCTCACCTCCGAAGTCGTTGTCTTTATTTACCGTCTATCCATCCCGCCCGGGAGAGTCCGCGCCCCCCCCCCCACGCGACGATGGAGCCTCCGAGGACGCCAAAACCCCCGCTGACTTATTGGGTGGGAATCGAATGACTCGCGATCTTGAAGACAACGAGTAGGGAAGACGACGAGTCCCTTTCTACCGATGCCCAATGGGAGAGGGGAGGGAAAACAGAGGGGAGGGAGGGAGGGAGGGAGGTTACTATTGGTCATTTGCGATGCTCTCAAAGCCCCACAGCGCTCCAGCCTTCTTCTTCCCGCTCTTTGAACATTTCAGCAGCACATTTTCCACAAACAGGATGAGCCCAGTTTTTTCTCCAGTTGTTTCAAAATAAAAACATGTTTGTCTCCGTCCGACGTCTCGTCCTCTGAAGCCCTGGAACATTCAGCCATTGAGAAACCACAAATCGATATTGGAGTCATGTCAGCAAAGCGGCTCATAAGCCAAAGCTCGTACTGGAGTTCTCCTCAAACGGGCTGTGGAGCTCGTTTCACACACACACACAAGACGTCTGAGAATCCAAACGGCATCCCGTTTTATTGGGAGAAGTTGCATTTCTTGGGTCATAAAGCAGTTCTGCTGCGCCTGCGACCTCACGTCTCCTCCACCCTGATCTCTCTGCACGAGTCCAATGTCCCCCACATCTTATCAGCAGGTCACCTTTGTCCATGAGCGTGTTTTCCTGGAGAGCGGGACGTGAAACCAACGCACCGACCCAATCAATAACGCACCAAACTACACCAAAACCTCTTCGGTTTGGTGTTTTTAAATACCCCAAAACACCTTTTCCCAAGCTGTTATTACTCAGTCGTAACTGACATGTTATATACAGTAAAATGTCTACAGTAGTTAATGTCACAACACTCCTACTAGACCTGGTTCACTCATAATAATGACATAAAAATATCACATTTTACAGTTTAGCTTAAAGAGATAAAAGCTTTGTATCTTAACTACTCAAAGTCTACTCCGTGATTCATATCATTTAACCACATGTAACAAGTAAATATCTTGCGGACACCCCGAAATAGATAACTTATTATTACACAAGCAAATGTAAATATAATCACAGAGTTCAGATCATTTAGCAAATATTGCAAAAACTGAACATGTACAAACACGATTTAGATTTTATATAAATGTGTGTACTTACACATTAGTCATTTTCAATTCTAAAATATAGAAAATAAAATAAAAAGGGTCTGGTTCCAACTCCTCGAATGAGAATATTTGATTTGATTTGATATTTGATTTCTGAGTTCTTACAGATTGCCTTTGGTTCTGACCACAGTAAACAAAAAGTTCTAACATTTTACTTTGCCCCTGGGGAATTATTTGGTGCAATTTTCACCACTTCACAAAGCGTGAATGAATGATCTCTTTCAGAGTAAGGTGGCGTGTGACGAAGCCGCGAAATGCATCCCAGGCATCAAACATCAAGCATCAATAAGTGGGGAAACATCCCTCACAGAACAGGACGGACCGATGTCACCGGAACACCTTAGTCAGCAACACGTAGCAGTGAAAGCAACGAGTCAGTCTTTTCCCCGGTCACAGTTCCCACAAAGCGAAGAAGAAGAAGAAGAAGAAGAAGAAGAAGAAGAAGAAGAAGAAGAAGAAGAAGAAGTGCATCCAGCTACTCGAGACCCACCCAGATGATTTCACTTCTTCTGCCTGAGGACTGCGCCCAGGTCCGATGCTCTCAGAGGAGCTGAGCTGCACGGTCACGGGAAGTCAAATGATATTCAACGAAAAGAGGATTTCATCAAACCGCACGCACAGCAGGTGCAAGTTGCATCCCAACACACGAGCCTTATGGTCTATGTGATGAGGGACAGCAGCTTTGAGCGGGGGGGGTCTGGGGCCTTGGCTCAGGATGCCGTTGAGGCAAAAACACACTGTAGCAAGAAGTTAAAAACAAACTGTCACAGGTTAGCAGCCTTAGCCGAGCCAAACTAGCTAACTCGCAGTTAGCCGCGGGGGCTAGCTGTTTACTTCAGCGTCATTTCGCAATAGTTATGCAACTTAAACACCTGCGGTGCGTCGCCGCTTACAGCACATTCGGCAAAGTTCGGTCTATCGCTTGTGGTTTGGGGCCACATTGGCGCTAACGTTGCTCAACCAGTCGCAGTGGCAGTCTGGTGAAAACAATAAATAAGCTAACGTTAGCCGACGGCGACAACAACAACATCCGAATGTGACGTCGCCCATCGTTTAACTCGCTAGCCATCAAACACCGGGGGGGGGGAGAAACCTAACGAGTGCATGTTAAACGGAAAAGGGGGGATTAGCTTCGAAGTCACCTCCGAAACAGGGCCGACGTCGTCAGCCGAACACCCCCGCACTCGAAAGCAACACCCTTTAAAAGCGCTTCAACTCACCGAGCGAACGTTGGCTTGGCCTTGGCTAACTCCAGATAGCGGCTCCCGCGGACACGACCAGGGGGGCAGCACCGGTACGGGGGGGGGGGATTTACCGGAGACTACGCGAGTTCGGCGAACTACTTGTGGGAGCGCTGCTCCGTTCCCCGGCCGTGGCTGTTGACAGCGGCTGTGACAACCGGAGCTAGCCTGTTAGCCGGTTAGCTCGCTAGCCGGCCAGCGTAGTTATAATCATGTGATTCGGCAGGAAGAAGATTTGATCACGTGGGGGTTTGCGGCCCAGCGTTTGGTCTGGCAGGCCACAACCGGTGGAGGAACGTAAATAAGTAATTTCACTCAATTAACATTATTATACTTTAGCACCGTTTTCATGTAACTGTACTTTACTAAATTGTTTCCATTTTTGAGGCAAATACTGTACTCTACACATGTTTTGACTACTTTTGAGAATCGGCAGATTTTAGCTATCCAACTGTATATAACGTGACTCAAATAAACGACACATCTATCTGAAATATATACAAATTGGTTTCATTATCACACCAACTTACTTAAGTACAGAACATGCAGCCCTGCCTTAAGTTGAATGTATGTATGTAAGTATAATGATATGGCTTTTAATGTGTGAGCAAATTTGGGTGTTTTATGTTTTTAGTGCATAACTTTTTCTTTTTATATTTGATTATTTTAATGTTTGGTGTCTTTGAGTACAATAAAACGTACCATAAAAATGAAACGTATTATTATTATTATTATAAAGTCAATTTCATCATTCTTACATTTTATATCAATGGGTGATTATTGTCATATGTTAAGTAGTTTGGTTTGTACAACCATGTATCAATCATATACGTTAATCTAAGATAAGATAAAACACGCTAACATTATTGGAATCTTAAGAAATTATAAGATAATAAAGGTTTTAAATAAAGCTCAAATCACACCTCGTTTGCTGCTGAGCCGCCGCTAGAGGGCAGTCCTCCGAGATGGAACCGGAAGTCAGAGCGGATGTACATATTAAGATTCCCCGAAGAAGAAGTCGGATAGAAGGCATCAACACGCTGTCTTATTTTTTGTTTTTCGTCACGTTAATAACTGTAATAATTGTTTAGGGGAAAATACATTACTGTGCAGTTTTGACACCATGCCCGTTATCTGTGCTGCTATAGGATGCAACAATAAGTTTGTGAAAGGCTCAGAAATCCGATTTTACAGGTAAAGTTGTCACCGCTTTAGTTGATCGATCCTTTCGCGTTGGCTTCATTTAAGTTCATTATAATACGAATGTCTCGTGTCACTGTAACTACTGAGTGATTAACGTAACTATATCTCCTCTTTAAGGCCACATTCTGTTGCTTTAAAGTGGCATCTCTGTTCTATGCGTCGACCCACCTCATGATAGCAGCTGTACTTACACTGATCTATTAAACATAAATATTACGTCACCATCCGTTACTACGTTGTTAAATGAGCTCTTATTCTTATTCTTTAGTTTCAAGACTCAACAACGTCATATTGTTGGAGAAAAGGCAGATCCCAAAAGTCTAAAAAAAATAGAAATATTCTTAATATTTTGTCTGTTTACCGAGTGTTTTTATGTATTTTGCTCTTCCACCATGTTCACTGTCGCCTTCCCCTCACCAAGCCGAATTCCATGTAACATACTTTACTGATACCTGACGAAGCTTCACTTTCCTCCCCGTTGCTGTCTGAGAAAACCCATCAAGTATTTAGATTAAAAAAAATCCTGCAGCTTGCTCACAAAGCATCTCGCCCCCCCCCCCCTCGCTCGCCTTCTGGGCGTTAGGTTCCCTCTCAGCAAACCTCAACTCGCCAGCAAATGGGTCCACAGCCTGGGGATGAAGAACTTCATCCCGACCGCCAACACCTGCCTCTGCTCGGAGCATTTCAGGGCCGGCTGCTTCAGGGACTACAACGGAAAACAGTTCCTGAGGGAGGACGCCGTGCCCACCATTTTCAGCCAGGGGCAGGACTCATCGAAGGTGTCGCATCAACCAGTTCTTCCTAACAGCCTCCCCCCCTCCCCCGCGTTGTCTCCAAGGGCCCTGATGACGGATTATTACAGATTGAACTTCGCAAACGAGGGGTGATCCCGAAGGAGGCGAGTGCGGTGAACCGGCGGGAACACAGGCGGACAGAGACAAAGCGCGAGAGGCCGTGAGTCTACGCAGAGACAAGAGAGGAGGCATGAGGGTGAGTTCTCCCGTCAGGCTGCTCTGTAGGTCCATCGTTGGGTCCAAACAAATATTAATACGGACCAATATTGTTGAGATGAACTGCTGCGTATAAAATATACTTTGTTCCCGCACAGGGCGGACGAGGCGGAAGAGGAGGAAAGCAAGAGAGGTGTGTGTGTGTGTGTGTGTGTTACATTTCTTTTCACTGTGCTTGAGGGTCGACGGTAACGTCTGAGTCTTTGGTCTGGTGTCTGCAGGCCGACCGCCGGGCCCAAGAGCAAAGTGTACGACAGCAAGGGCCGGCTGCTGTCCAACAACAAGGACATGTGCGACTGCCTGGACGTGGACTGCATGGGCTGCTTCTACCCCTGCACCGACTGCGGCTCGCGCAAGTGCGGCGTGGAGTGCCGCTGCGACAGGAAGTGGCTCTACGAGCAGGTGGAGGTGGAGGGCGGAGAGATCATCCGCAACAAGTTTGTCACCTAGCGAGCGGCGGCCCGCGTCGGGGGAGGGGGGGCGGGGGGGGAGTCTGGAAACTGGGCTGGCGGATGGAAGAATCTTCCAGAAGGGTCCGTGATGCGATACCAGGATTTGGGAGGATTCTGCCTGTGGTGGAAATGCTTTGGGGTGTTTAGATATTTTATTTCTCCGGTGGAAAATGTTCATCATGTGCCAGAGTCTCGCTACTTTATGATGGTCCACGCCAATAACCGTCTGCAGGTTGTTCGTGTCCATGTAGACACACACACACACACACACACACACACACACTTTGAGTGTGGAGTTTTTTTGTCCTCTTTAATGGTTTTATTTTTGTACTTTAATCATCACCAGAAGTAAAAACTATATTATTCATAATAATTAATAGAACACTGAAATCAGGATGGAAAGACTATGTAGTTTGTATTAAAATGGATTTAATCTTGTGACATGTATGTAAATGAAAAAAGGAGGTAAATGTTCAAGAATAATCTTCATTGAATTATAGCTGAGCTTCATATTTTTTTATTTTTTGTGTATTCAATAAAACTGAAAATATGTGTAACTGTTGAGAATGTTTCTAGTAGATGAAGATGAGCACATTTTCATGTTTGTAGCATTAAACTTAAAGATGTGTTTGTAGGATTTGTCTTGGGGATAATTGATTTTGTTGATTTTTGATTGTGTTTGAATACGTCATAGTTAGCATATGAATTATGGTCACAGTGACCTCTGACCTTTGATCAGTTAATTTTTCCGTTGAATTTTACCTATGAATATTTATACCGTTTTCTTTTTAAAAAAATGAACAAATTGTGAGCTTTTAATAGCTTCAATATCATCAATTCTGCCCGATTGTATGTTGAAATGTAGTGTCCTTTGGGCCACGAGACGACGTACCGAAAATATAATACCTGCATGGCTTTGACTCCTCGCAGAAGGCTGAGCTGGACCGTTCCATAACGTGTTGTAATAGAGGAGCGCCGCCACGTCACACAGAACCTCTGCGTCACGCCGTTAATTAAAGCGACCGCACAGTCGTCCTTTTAGAATGTAAATCCTTTTTATTTCCATCAGGCCATTTCTCCTGTTCCCGTTTATCACAGACTAGACAGGAAAGGGGCGTAACCCCCCCTACACACACACGCACACACACACACACACACACACTGACACACACTGAGTACACACAAGCAGCGTGACACAGCAGTTCATCACTTTGGGTAAAGAAAGAGATCGTCTCCATTGCACACGTGGTGTCCTTGACCACGGCTGCAGGTCAGGTGTCGTGCAGTCTGGAGGGGGGGGGAGGTTACGTGTCCTCCTACACAGGCGCTGCCAAATATGAATTTCAGGAACTGCCGAGGTGGATATTTTGGTCTTCTATGGGGGGGGGATGTGAATTATCGTCTTCCAGGGAAATGTGCTGTGCTCATGAGGCTTTTTTTTTCTTCTTACTATTATCTTCATAAGGCGCCTTGGAGCTCATGTAAAGTTCATTTTAAAAGGGGCGAGAATGAAGCTTATTAATATTCATAAGAACCGAGTTGATGCTCACGAGTGATTCATCAACGCTGCCCAGGTTTTGTTCCCGAACTCCAATCTAACTTTGATTTGGAACATTTGTCTTTCTCCACTTCATGTGCAGGATGTGCTCCAGATATCAGGAAAGGAAGCCCACTCCCTCACACACCAGCTGCTGGGGGGGGGACAGAAATCATTTGGCTCATGAGCAGTGTGTTTTTTAATGTGTTGTAAATCATTTTAAACTTACTTGATTTCCAGGTATCAACAGGTCAATATTATATTTTCATTTTTTTTTGGACGCCTCTGATCTCACAGACGTCTATGAGAAAACGACTACTTGTCTCTTGATTTATTCCCTCAGTAAACATTGTAAACGTAAGTTTATTGTTTAATACATCATGATGTTTATTTAGTAAATGATGGTTAGAGTCAAGTACACCATAGAGCAGAGTTTGCTCTTACAATGATTGACATGAATTGTCCTTCTTTTATTCTCTTTAACCCTTTCACAGCGTGAAATCAAGTCATGAAAGTTGATCATTATTATTATTCTTTTCAGCGTTCGTTTAGATTTTTTTTCATGACATTTTTCAATATTAACAGCTCTTGGCTTTTTTTCAAAACATCTTTCTGTATAATATTATTTGACGTTTTTCTGTGAAATTTTCTCGACCCAAAATATTTCAACTTTTCTTCAAAAGCCTTTTTTCAACTTAAAATATTTTGACCTTTTTTCATGACATTTTTCAATATTAACAGCTCTTGGCTTTTTTTCAAAACATCTTTCTGTATAATATTATTTGACATTTTTCTGTGAAATTTTCTCGACCCAACATATTCAGACTTTTCTTCAAAACCTTGTTTCAACTTAATATTTTGACCTTTTTTCTGACATTTTCTCAACCCAACACATTGAGACTTTTTTTCTAAACTTTTTCACCCAAACATACTTTGACTTTTTCCCCATTACATTTTCCTACTTAACATATTTTGGCTTTTTTCCCCAAACTTTTTTGACCCTAATATATTTTCTACTTGTTTTTCCATATTTTCTCAACCTAACATATATTAATTTTTTTGTTTTCACATTTCCTCTCCCCCGTCTTCCCTTTCTGTCTCTAAGAGGAACTGCCCCGTTGCATCCGGCCTGTGTCCCTCGGCCCGTTGGTGGAACATATTAATAAACGTGACATAGCAAATCCCATGAAAGCGGCGCCCTGCGCTCCGTCTCCACAGGCCGCTTTGGGCTCTCCTTGGACGGGCGTCTTAGGTCTCTCCATCGCGTCCCACCGGCTTCTCCTCCAAACCGCAGCCCGACAAAGTGTGCGTCCTAGAAAGCGTTGGGCTCCATCTCTCGCGTACATTTATTTCCCCAACGTGCTCCAGCGTGCTGCTGTGTTAAAGGGGCGAAATACCCAGTAATCTACTCGCACCTTTTTCCTCTTACAACCTCTTTTTTATTCTGCCATTGATCCATCTGCACCCTTACGTTGTATTATTAATCATTTTATTGATTGTCTCACTTGTTAGAGCACTTTGGCTTCGACCTTTGCACTCGTATCGATTCCCTTCTAAATACGAGCTTTTCTCCCGTCGCACACACTCAATTCACGTTCCATCGTAGGGGGACGCTTAGGCTCCTTTGGTTCTGGAGGGGGGGGGGTTTCCAAAGTTTGTAAAAGTAATCCTAATGAATTATTTAACGTAACGTTAACCCGGGTTTTGCTTTTGGAGCGTGGCCTGTAGCATCTCAGCGACAGGCGGTAAACCCCCAACGTGGAGGTGTCTCAAAAAAAAAAACAGCAGACAAAACCCCCCGGAAGGTGGTATCTGTTTATTTCAGTGGCCACGGACAATAAGCAAAAAGGCGACAGGCTTCTCTTACATGGACGGACAGCTGGGGTTGTACACCGGGTGGTACCCGCAGTGCATGCTGGGTTCCTCGGGGTTGCACACCTGGCACTTGCAGTCCCTGGCCACGGGGTAGGTGACGGCCTCGGGACACCCGTCAATGTGTGTCACCTCGTAGGACCAGTCCCCGTTACACGTGTTCTGGTCCGGCGGGGGCTGATGGCTGCTGTAGACGGGGGCCTGTCGCGGGCAGCGAGCGTTTAACCACAACCGACCCCGGCCCCGTGCGCAAACTGCCCCCCCCCCGACGGAATGAACGCCACGTACCTTGGTCTCGCACCATCCCGAGCAGGTGGTGGTTAGGATGGACGTGTTTCGGCCACAGACCTCCACCTCGATGCTGAAGCTTTTCTCTTGGCACCCGCTGCGGCAGTCCTCCTCGGCCGCCGCCAGCGCCAGCATGGCTGCCATGACAACCAGCTGCATCCTCTGCCAGGTGCAGACGCCTGCCCGCGAGAGGGGAACAATCCTCCATGAGCGAGACGTTCTTGTGTCCTGACATTTTTCATCTATTTGAAACACACCTGGGACATGATAAAAAATCCTTTTGTGGCACTTTAAAACGGTTTGTAAATATAAATATACATATATTTACCTGTTACTCTGCACCCCCCCCCCCATATAGACAAATCCCTTGGTGCTCAGCATTGTTTTCACAGAGAATCAAAGTATATTAAAAACTCCTCTCGTACCTGTGGAGCTCTGTCGTTGCTTCAAACCTGCCGTTGTCTCCTCTGTTGCTCTCTGAACATCTGTAGCAGCTGTGGACCCGAGGCTGCGCTCCCCGCCGCTTAAATAGTGCTGCTCACAAACCCCCGTAATCTCTTCGACCTTGGGCTCGCCGCTTTTTTTTCCCCCCACCTGTGCGGACTTAAGGGCACATCTTTCCCTCAACAAGTCGCTCAAGGCCTTTCCCTCCACGCGACGAGGCGTGAGTCGGTATCTGCAGACATCTTGCCTGGATTACACGGGGGTGAAAGGATTAGAGGGGCCGCAGAAATGTGAAAAAAACAAATCTGCCCCCACAGTGAGATGGAAAACCCTCCGCGGCAGCGTCAGTGAAACGCTACTTGCGATTTCCATGGTGAGAAAGGTGGGATGTGCAACTTTACATCATTTTGTTGATTGATTTCTGTTTGTTGACAGACGAGACCATTGTTGCCGCAGTCATTAATTACCATTTTAAGATGACGCGAGAGAGACAAACAGTCAGAGCTTCTTTTTTTATTCCTCCTGTCCTCAAAGTTTACTGAATATAATAAAAGTAAAAGCATTGTTAGAGTAATGCATTTTAACAAAGGTTCTAATGTCTTTACTGTTAATTTAATCTAAATGATTTGTCGAAATGATGAGGCGATTTGTCTGTATACTCATAATTTATCTAAAACCACAAAGTACAGGTTTTATCTGTACATCTGTGCAGACCTGCAGTAGTTGCAGTTATTTTATTGGGGGGGGGGGGGTGTTTCCAACTGCTGCATCGGCCTGAAAAACCTGCTTCCGTCCGTTTTGGGGGGAAATGTGTTGCTCTGCTGCATTGCCTGAAAAGTTAGCACTGCACCACGAGCTGGACACTGTGCAGGAGGAGCTCGGGCAGCGGCCACCGGGGACTCTCTCCCCCCCTCTCCCGTCATGCTGCCCTATCCCTCCTTCTCTAACATAGACTCCCTCCCCCCCTCCTCCCTCCTCCTCCAGGACGCTACCATCATTAAACGCCTGCGTTCTGTCCTGTGACGAGCAACAGTCACTGCCGCTCAGCCGTGTTTTCCCAGCAGACCACATCGTCATTCTGTCCGTCCACAGCAGCCGGACGTTCCCCCCGTCAGATGAGTGCATCTGCATTGAAAACGTGTCTCTGTCGAGTTATTAATAGAAAAACCTCAATCGCAGTGACCCTGGAAAGCTCCTAGTAAATAGTGAGAGGGAACAGCACGGAGGAGATGTCACATCCACGTCCACTGGGAGTCGACGTAACCGCGATGGATGAGGTGAAGCTTCCGTTTTCTGCTTCGTAAGAAGAGGCAGGAAAAATCATTTGGGTGTAAAAGCTCATAAGAGGTTCATGAGAAGACGCTCATAGAGCCGCTCCGGGTCGGACGTTGTGCACAGAGGTCATCGAATTTGATCTTTTTTTCCTCCACACAACATAAACCCGCCGTAACAGGAGGCATTTATGTACGTGTGAATATATATGTATATCTATAAAAAGGATTGTCTTAATGGGAATAATCAAGGGTTTAAATCAGGATCATTGCTTTTTTTTTTTGATGTATAACCGACATTTATCTGCTGATGAGATCGGGATGGATGACGCAGGACTTTCCCCCAGGAGGCCGCTGGCTGCGATCCCTGTGACATGAAAGGTCAACGTTGACGCACTCAAACAACATGCAAACCCCGGACTTATACCTCTTATTTGCACACACACTTACACCGAAGACAACGAATGCAGGGTGATATATCGGCGCGCTGAAGGAAGCGGTCGGCCCCCACCAGAAGAAAGCATCTCTTCCAGCAGGTCGACGTTGCAGCTCTGGGATCAGTTGTGTGCATCCGAACTTGAGTGTGATAAGACAACCTCCATCCTCACATCATTACCGACCTCACAACTCCCCCTGGCGCTGAGCGAGGTGGATGCTCAGTGAGGTGCGAGTGCAGATTAGAGAAGCAGAACGGATCATTTCACAGGCACAAGCCTCATTGCATTGGATTTTACATTCACTTTTAAATGTAAAAAAAAAAAGTTTATTCAGACATTTGGATTGAGGCGAACCAAAAATATCCCGATGGGAATATTACAACTGGAGATTTCAAATGCACCTGAGGGATTTCCAGGAACATTGCACGAGTTATCTAGCCACATTAATGACAAACCCACATGATATTTAATGCAGCGACTGTGGTCTTCAATGCTCGTTACTCACAGAAAGTAATGCAACTGCTTTTTCACCAGTAGTGCATTGTTTGACTAATCAATGAGGCACAGGGACTTAGTACCAATTCATGTCTATTTCCGGCCAGATAACCGCAACTTAAAGAATCCTCGTCGCGCGCCAAGAAGTGGGTCACTGTCAGGATCAGCTATTGTGCCTTTAAGAGAGGAACATCAGACAAAGGGGTTCTTTCCTTTTGGGGTTCTAGCGTTAACGTTCCTCTGCAAAGCCATCGGGCGAGGGGGGGGCATTTTTATGCAGGATTTTCCGAAGACATTACGTCTTTTAGAGGATTTGTTGAAAGCAAAACATTACAACAAAGTATTGTGTTGTTATGTAACAGCTTGTTCATTTTGTCTGAGCAGACATTTCTTTATGATTTGTGTCGATTGAGCCCTTCTGGATTCATTAAACAGGTACAACAATTAGGTAGTTTGCTTCCATGCTTGGCATTCCCATTTAGCATTAGCATTTTATTTTATTACTTGTGCACTGCTGTCCTGTTGTCTATTGTTACACTGTCCACTGTCACGCACCAACCAACAAGTCCTTGTTTATGTCTGACATATTTTGGCAATAAACGTTTCCTGATTCCTGATTAAGTGCTCTGTTTGCTTATTCAAGTATCAAAATATGATTTTCAGGAGTGAAAGTAACACATGAATTTGGTTCAGCCGTCCTGTTTACTCACACGGTAAATTGCAGATGTGATAAGATGGTTGGATGTCTTTAAATCACAGCAAGAAAAACAGTTGATACGGAGCGAAGCGAATGATCCAGGATCAAACTATCAATCCAGTCTTGGGGTTTCTGGTCCTGCGGGTTAAAGCTGATAATGACATTGAAAAAAAAAGTTTTCAATCAATATATTCAGGGCTCTTCTAAAAATAATTTCTAAAGGGTAAAACAAAGACTGCATCTTTTTGTGAGGATGTATTTCAGTGGAACCTGCTCCGTCACACCTACTGACGTCACCGGAGGAATGGATGGAGACAATTTGATTACATCGTGTGTGTGTGTGTGTGTGTGTGTTGGGGGGGGTGGGGGTGGGGGGGCACAGGTTGCCACCCAGCAGTGTTGACGGAGGGCGGCGCACAGCTCGGGTGTGAGACTGCAGTCGCGGTGCTGACAGTGACCGGCTGCGTTCACTGGGGGAGGACCGAGCGCCGTCTGCGCGCGCTGCGGGACACGGGCGGCTTTCTCACCGACGCTCCCCATCATCATCATCATCATCATCACCACCACCACCACCGTCACACACGCGCGCGCGCGCACACACACACACACAGTCACGAACGCAAACACACACACACACACACACACACAATAGGGAGGGATACCGGAGAATAGCTAGCGCTCCAGCGGCACAGACAGATGTGCGGTGCTCAGACTCCGCCGCGGGGCCGTCGCCCCTCGCGAGGCTAAACTTTTACCCCCCCCGCCGTGGGCGCGCGGAGCTCTCATTGATGCCCCGTGGCGCGCCGCTCGCACACCTGCTTCTGTTTGCCTCCTTTGCCTCTTTTTTTTTTTTTTTTTTGTTGTCTTTTCCCGGCGCACCGGGAGCGATGCGGCGGCAGAAACGGGGGCTCAAGTGGCGACAGATCCTGTTGAATTGAGGCGAGACGTCTAGACCGCAGCCCCTAAAAAAAAAAAAAAAGACAAAGTGTCCCTCCTCGGGAGTGCGTCAGAGCACGGATGGATATAGTGGAGGATGTGGCCGCTGGTTGGAGACGACGAGGGATTTGTGGTATTGACCCCCCCGAAATCAGGACGGGAATTTGGGCAGGAGCAAAGAACTGCATCCTCACCTAGCTCCCCTCCTCCTCCTCCTCCTCCTCCTCTTCCTCCTGGAACAGATTTGTTTGTAGGGGGGGCTGAGGCGATTTCATCACATGTAAGTATTTGAATGTCAGGATGGAGGGGGTGCTTTGTTTCATGCGTAAAGTCAGTTCTAAACATAACGTCTGCCGCGCGTTTATTGGCCAGGCTTTATCCCCCACGCTCACTCAACAATCATACTATTAACAATACAATGTAGTTGCACCGCCCTGATATTGACAAATGTGCAGTGCCCCAGAACCACGAACATTAATGTAAATATTTGTATCTTTTTTTTGTTTGTTGCCAAAACCGACTGCTGTTCTCCTCTCGTCTTTCCAGGGAGCGTCAGCGGAACAAAGTCATTCAGATTCATCGGATCTCCACAAAATAACACCACGGATCCAGTTTGAAGAACAGCATTTTTCCACCACACATCTCATGGTGTAAAATGGCAACCAGGCGGGACCACCGGAGGATCGAAAGACGCATTCGGGCCGCGCAGAGATTAACCACCTGATGGGCACCGGAGGGCGCGTGCAGGGACTGTTTGGGCTGCAGCTTGTTGACTTGGTGATTTATAACGCGCAACGGATAGGCACAGCGCGTGCGTAACGCGCTCTCACGGCGGTGGGGGGGGGGGGGGGGGGGGGTTATGGGAAAGAAGTCCTGATTTTCCTAAAAACGGGAGAAAGGGTCATTCCTGTTCTCTTGCACGGGGCGGGCGCCACGGGGACCGCTCTCCACGGGGGACTTATTTCCGCGTGGTTGCGTGCTCCCCCCCGCAGCTGATTGGTCGAACCGGTTCGTGCCTCGTTTGTGCGCCGATCCGCAACTTTTATCCGCTGGGCCCGCGTGCGCGTCGCCCCCCGGGCGGTTCCCGCAGCGCTCGCTCGTTGACTGTTAAAGGAATACACATTTAAAAAAGAAAAATGGAGTTCGCCATGGTGGGTGCGGACGGCGGCTGCAACAGTCACCCGCCTTACGGATATGCCCAAGCGCGGGCGCGGGAGAGGGAGCGCCAGGCTGCCCAGACGCGAGCTGCGGCGGCGGCTGAAGGTGGCTCCGGTGAGGAAGGAGGTTCCTCCACCTCCTCCTCCCCCTCCTCCTCCTCCCCCAGCGCTCATCTCCTTATCAACCGTCAGCATCAGTCTCACGCCGCCTCCAGCAGCAGCGGTACCGCCTCCTCCTCCTCCTCCTCCTCCTCCTCCTCCTCCTCGCAGCACCAGCAGGAGCCCGTGCAGCAGCAGCAGCAGCAGCAGCAGCACAGAGTTCTCAGAGAGCGGAAAAAGCAGCGCGGCGTCGGACGGTGGAGACGCAGCCGGAACTCTCTCGGCGGGGACCTGCGCCACTCGGAGCTGGCGCTGCTCGGATCCGAGGAGGACATGATGATAGAGGAGGAGGAGGAGGAGGAGGACGAGGAGGCCGATGATGAGGTGGCGCGGGACCCGGGGAGCAAGAGGTCGAGCTTTCTGTGCACCGTGGACGACGAGGAGGAGACCGCCTCGCTCACGGACCGGCGCCCGCACTCCGGCTACGAGAGCGCGTACAGCGAGTTCGGCTGCTGCGAGAGGGTCGTCATCAACGTGTCGGGTCTCAAGTTCGAGACTCAGCTCAAGACTCTGGCGCAGTTCCCGGACACCCTGCTGGGGGACCCGGACCGGCGGATCCGGTACTTCGACCCGCTGAGGAACGAGTACTTCTTCGACCGCAACCGGCCGAGCTTCGACGCCATCCTCTACTACTACCAGTCGGGCGGGCGGTTGAAAAGACCCGTGAACGTGCCCTTCGACATCTTCTCCGAGGAGGTGAAGTTCTACGAGCTCGGGGACGAGGCCATACTCAAGTTCCGGGAGGACGAGGGCTTCGTGAAGGAGGAGGAGAAGCCTCTGCCGAAGGACGAGTTCAAGCGCCAGATCTGGCTGCTCTTCGAGTACCCGGAGAGCTCGAGCCCCGCCAGGGGGATAGCGGTGGTGTCCGTGCTGGTCATCGTCATCTCCATCGTCATCTTCTGCCTGGAGACGCTGCCGGAGTTCAGGGACGAGAAGGAGTACCTGCAGCCGCGGGTCAACTCCACGCAGCCGGACCACGGGTTCACTCCTTTCAACGACCCGTTCTTCCTCGTGGAGACGGTCTGCATCATCTGGTTCTCCTTCGAGTTCATGGTGCGCTTTTACGCGTGTCCCAGCAAGGCGGAGTTCTTCAAAAACATTATGAACTCAATAGACGTTGTGTCCATTTTGCCTTATTTCATAACCCTCGGCACGGACCTGGCGCAGCACCAGGAAAACGGGCAGCAGGCGATGAGCTTCGCCATCCTGAGAATAATCCGCCTGGTGCGCGTGTTCCGCATCTTCAAGCTGTCCCGCCACTCCAAGGGGCTGCAGATCCTCGGCCACACGTTGCGCGCCAGCATGCGGGAGCTGGCCCTGCTCATCTTCTTCCTCGTCATCGGGGTCATCCTGTTCTCCAGCGCGGTGTACTTCGCCGAGGCGGACGAGCCCACCTCGCAGTTCACCAGCATCCCCGACGCCTTCTGGTGGGCCGTGGTGACCATGACCACGGTGGGCTACGGCGACATGAAGCCCATCACCGTCGGCGGGAAGATCGTGGGCTCGCTGTGCGCCATCGCCGGCGTGCTGACCATCGCGCTGCCGGTGCCGGTCATCGTGTCCAACTTCAACTACTTCTACCACAGGGAGACGGACAACGAGGACCAGACGCCGCCGCCGGTGGTCGAGAGCCTCCCGCCGGGCTGCCCGTATTTTCCGGACTTTTTCCGGAAATTTAGAGGCTCGCCCTCCGGCTCCTCGCTGGGCGACAAGGCGGAGTACATGGAGATGGAGGAGGGGGTGACGGAGTCGCTGTGCGGGCTGGACAAGAGCCCCAGTAAAGGAAACGGCACAGACATAGGCAGGAAAAACAGCACGAACTCCAAATCCATTCAGACTGACGTGTGACTGCAAGAGGTTCGCCTTTGCCCACCCTCCTAAACCCCCCACTCCTCCTCACCCCTTTGTTTCTTAGCAAAAGCAAACGCTCCATAAAGATACCCAAGGTGGTGCGAAACCACACGTTTTACGCACGCGTCTCAGACCCGAACACGCACGCACGAAACCAAGGCGCACGCTCACAGGTCACCGATCGGCAAGTCACACGTCCGCCTCACTATGGTTTTCAGCCCAAACCCCCCCCCCCCCCCCCGCGACGTTTAGGAACAATTAGGATCGATATCGGACTGATTTAGTCGACTGACCTCTGCGGGCTTTTGATTCTGATGCTGACGGCTCCGACCAACAGCATTCGCACTTTAAGGGGTTCCACCTGTCAATAACAGGAAGAGGGAGGGGGTTGATTTGTTTTGCTCTTATGCAATAAAGTTAAAATACGTTACATTTTTGCACTAATGTTGAAGTTGGCGCCGAGTTTGGCTGGTTTCGGTGACAGAGCCCGGGGCTGCAGGCCATGGAACGTGGCACTAGTTTAGTCGTCCTCTGACCACTTAGCTGAGGAATGTTGGAGGAACTTCTTTGGGGAGAGGAAACTAACAATATTAAAAAAAAAAAAAAAAACCTCTCCGGCGCTGCCAGTGAAAATTGGACTCCAATAAAGGAAAAAGTCAGAGATGCATAACTTTGGCGAGGGATCCAACACTAAAAAGAACTCATGGACAAAGACGCAGCAATTGGCAGCCATAAAAAAACGGGGCTATAATTATTTCTGACATATACACGAATACACTTTTTTTCCCCTCTTTTTCCAACACGAAAAGCCTTGTGTCGTCGAGCTAAGCACAGGAAACATCAGAACAAACACATGGATAAAGGACCCCCCCCCCCTCTGCTTTATTTTGAATATGACAATATCCCTTTACACGGACGCAGCAAAAGGACTTTGCTGTGGAAACCCATCGGATGGGGGTGAGGGGTGAGGGGTGAGGGGGGGGGTGGAGGTCACCAGCGACTTCCCCTCTTGTGCACAAAGTGTTTTTTGTTGTTGTTTTTTCCACTCAAGAGGACTACGTGATTACCTCCGAGCTCAGCGGACCCCCCCCCCGCGACGTGGACGTCTTCCAAAAGGTACGTGTCCGCCATGCCCCCCCCCTCGTGCCGCACAGCGCGTTTAGCAGCAGCCTACGGTCCACCCGGGAAAGGGTCACACGCAACGCGCGCGTAAAAGCCCGCAGATGGACACCGGCGGCGGTGAGTCCGCGTTTCTCCAGCACCACGGGGGACGCTGCCGCTTCGGCTCCCGCGCGTCCAGCTGTTACTACGCGGAGACACCGGGTCAAGCTGCTGTGGGCTCCGGTGCCAAAGGGGTCAGCGGGTGGAGTGATTACGCGTCCTGCCGTCCTGCTCTCTGATTACAAGATGGTGTGGTTGCAGTCCGGTGTGCGTGGCCTCTTCTGTCCAATTGTCCGATAATGGGGCCAGGTGTGCACGTTTAAGGGTGAATGCTGTGTCGCTTCTTTTGACATTTTATTTGGCCGCCTGAATCTGCACGTTGCATTTCCCCCTGACATTGATGAATAAAACACGGTGACGACGGAGGCCCACAAAACGCCGAGGGCTGAATTTTAATGGACGAAAGAGGCATCTGGTGTCTGGCAGTTAACGCTTTTGAAATGTGAAACATTTGCACACTCAATGGCGACTGTTTTTGTGATGAGGGCGGAGTAGAAGACACTTTAAGACAAGATATTAGTAAGAGCCCTTTATGTCAAGTAGGACAAGTGACGCTAAGTTGCTTACAGATGGGAACGCAACATATGCAGAATATATGAAAAATGACATATATTAATCATACATTTGTCAGTCTTCTCTTAACAATCCAAGAAAACTCTGGAGTCATGAGAATTATGAAAAGCACAAAAAGAGGAGAAAAGATGTTACTGAGATGCACCCAAAGTTCATATCGTACTTGCAAAGATGAACTTTTGTGGCGGCCGATAGAGATTCGTACAGCAGATCCAAACACTCAGCACGTCATCGCTTCATCAGCGTGTAAGTTACTGTGTGTTCATCCTCTCGGGGGGGGGGGGGGGGTTGGAGTTTATTTAATGAGTGGTTCTCCCAAAAATGTATTCGGCGGCTGTCAAGGAGGACCGGCGAGGAGCGGTGGGAGTGAGCGTGCAGCACACAATGTCAGACGAGGGTTATGTCACGAGACGGCACGAGTGAGTCGAGTCCACCCAGAGACAGCGGATCGGATCCGGGGGGAGAAGCTTCACTTGTATCGTTGGTCGTCTGAGGACTTTGTTTGCATGTTGCCTGCAATGTTCCGTACTGCACACAATGCAAACAGCAGGGAAGCAAAGTGACGAATTCTTCCTTGAAGAATGAACTCTTGTGATTTGAGGCGAATGTGTAAGTGAGGAACTCGCCCCAAAGGCCTCAAGTTTTCTTTTCACCGCTAATTAAAAAGCGAAGGCAAGGCTGCAGTGGATAATAACTTGAAGTCCGTCTACTGACCCAACGGACGATAAAATGATTTATTCCCCCATTAAACATTGCAAACATGAGATTATTGTCCCAATATCTGGTTCTCTTTTGTTTGTGGTCCATTAAGAGTCAAATCGATCGTAAAGCAGAGTATGTTTTAGGGCGGGGCTTCCTGTGATTGACAGGTTGCCGCCCTGGTGTTAGTAGTCCACGTTCGTAATGCTATATAGTAAGTGTACCAGGTAGCTGGTGATTCATGGTTTTATCTGGAAGCACAGAGTAAAGCGTTCAGCCAGAAGTCAGACGTGTCTGTAAGGCCGGCCGCCTTTCACGCACCTCCAGCGGTCAGAAGATACAAAAGGGGCTGATGGACTAAAAAGTAAGAACAGCTACGAACCGCAAACGTCCCACGGCGCACGTTTTGAAAGACGGTCCGACCCGTCCGAATCGAAACGAGCCGCTCTGCATGGCAGGAGCCCGAGGTCAGAGTCGCAGCTCGACCTGCCGATAAAGGGGCTCATCGAGCCGAGCGGAGAGCGACTCCCCACCCGCAGCCGAGACACCCACCCATCTTCTGCAACTGCTGAAACCGGGTGGGGGAGGGGGGGGGGTCACAGCGGCTGGAACCCATCCCAGCAGAAGCCAAATTAAACGGGTTGCCAGCTCCTCGTGGAGCCAAAATAAAGACGGACATTACGTCGGAATAGATTCCTTTGAAAACCTTCACACTGTTCCTTTAAAAAAAAAAAAAAGCCACCCGAGGGTGTGGACTCATTTTCCTGCTCTGTCCGGGTCAACGGAACGAAAGCTCCATTCCTAACAGCATTATGAAAGTGAACGCGGACGACATTTAAACAGAAAAGAATAACCGAAAAACTCGAGAGGAATTTCTCTCCGCTCATCTGCCAATTCATCAATCAGGCCTGTCGGCTGGTCGCCGTGCCGACACGCCACTGCACTCCATCCCAGCTGTTGTCACAGTGTGAGTGTTTACGATAATTGTCGTTCCCTTCTTGAGAAGGTGCCGGCTCCAGTTACCTTCTTGTACAAACATTAAAAACTGCTCCAAAAAGAGAAATGGGCTCATTCGTCAATTTCATCTCAAGGAAACCGAGCAGCCGAGCCGAGCCGAGCCCTCGTGGCGAGATGAAGATGGCAGGTATTTACAACAGGTGAGCCGTCGTGGCCCCGCTCTCTGCAGCCGTAACGCGGCTACACAGGCCTGCCAATCATGCGATTAGGGTCCCGATGTGAACCCACCCACGTGTCCCATGTACTAACCCCTCAGAGCGTTCTGTCGCCAGTGTAAAACTGCTAATCCCGCGTGGAACAAACCCTCGGGACACTCTCACCTTTGACCTTCCAACTCAGCGGCCCGAGGCACCGCGTGACCCCGAGAGAAATCATCGCCGCGTCAGGTTTTTTTTTTTTGTTCCCGCGTGGACAAAAGGGCTCACGGCTAATAACGCACATCTGGGATTAAAGCCCGGGTGTAAGTTTAAACCAGCGCCTTGTTTTCCACGCAGCCGTTACGTAACGGCCCTCTATAGAAGCACAGTAACCCGATTCTTTGCACAACTCCACTGTATCCATCTCACAGCAGCCCGGGCCTCATCATGTTACTTCATTAAAGACCTGTAGATTGAATTGCTAATTACACATGAGCCTCCGTGTTGGGTTTCTCCACCCGCTGCTTCTGCACACGCACGCTATGTCGCCTTGCAACAAAAAAAAAAAAAGAGTCATTCACCGTCTTTAAAGAGAAGTGTTGGCAAATAAAAAAAAAAACAGCGTGGATTCATATTTAAAATGATGAGTCGCGGCCGCTCTTCACCCGCAGTATAGACGCAGATTTCAGATTTGATTCGTTTCAAAGGTCGGTCACATCAAGTCAGGGCTCTTTTGTTTTGTTTCTGTGAGAGGTCCTGAGTGCAACCTAACCCCCCCCCGCCCCCCCGTCCCCCCACAGCGCTGCGCCTCTTTGTTGTTGTGTGTGAACAAGCTTGAGATTTGATTAAATGGAGCAGCTGCTGAGCCATAAAAAAGTTTTCCGCTCCCTGTGAGGATGAGCTGGTGAGCAGAGGAGCCGGCGCCCTGCCGGTCCACGTGAACCAGTGAAGGGCTGCAGATGCTGATCACGCTGTGGGATCCAACACACACACACACACACACTCACACACACACACAGCGGTGCGTGCACGACGCCGTCGGGCGGATGAAAGTGATACGCATGCACTTCGAGAGTCATCTGCCGCACGAAGATCTATCGTTCTGAACGTCCTCACGTGTCGTGTGTTGAGTTTCCTCTTCGGGTGACTCTGGTTTCCTGGACAGGAAACCGGGTGTCAGTTCATGCGGCAGCCGCCGCGTATCAGCGCGCACGTTGTCGTCCAGTGAAGGTTTGAACTTAATGACGGACACTGTGGTGTTACTCAATGCAGGTGATGCACAGAAGAGCAGGTGTCGAGCGGCAAAACTGAATAAAGTTTTCCAAATGGTTTAGAAATGCAGCGGTATCGAGCGATACCCAAATCCATTGGATCCCCGTCCTCAGATGTCTTTTAGTTGTAGACTTTCTTATTTCTAAATCTAAAAACACACAACAGGATCTCGCAGGTTTATAACCACGGAGTGTTTTTCTGCTCTTGGGATGCTGCTGAAACACGTCTTCACTGAGTAATGATGAGTCATCTTACATTATGAATGCAGGCCTGCTGTATTAGGCTGCAGCATACGCGCTCCCTCAACGTTCTACCTTTTAACGTCACGTCACGACGATAAAACAAATTGCTTTGCCACAGCAAACTGGATGAGAACGTTCTAAAGGTGTTTAATGTTTTTGGATACTTTACCACCATTACATTCAAGAAGAAAAGGTCCGTGAATGAATGTTGTCTTATTAAGACCATTGCCTCCATCTCTACATCTCTGTACATCTCACAGCGGCGACACAGAGGTTAAGGTTGGAGGTACGTCAGACCATCGCAACCTCCTCCTCCTCCCCCCCCGTGGTCGTCCAGGCCGCAGCGGACGTGCAAAACCGCCGACCCGGGTTCACGGGGGACGGGTTGTTTTCCACGGGGGCGTCTGTTTTCTCCGCTGCCGACCGGCGTTACGCAAACTTCAGCGAAAAAAAAGAAAAGAAACGTCCGCCGCGACCGGACGTCCGCGTATGACCTCGTCTCCGGCTCGCGCTCTCGGGCTCCGGTGGGGGGGAGGGAGGCGGGGGCGAGGGGGTGAGGGGGGGTCTGCATGCTGTTCACGTGGAGTGACTAACTCGCCCTCCGGGGGCCCCGGGGCCGCTTCTCGCTGCACGCAACCAATCAGCGCGCCGGGGCCTCGACTCGCGTACATCAGGATGAGTCAGTTTTTTTGGGGGGGTCCGCGAGGGCCGAGATCCACTCGCCCCAAACACACACACACACACACACACACACACATGCAAACACACACACACACATGCAAACACACACACACACACACACACATGCGTGGTTCTTCTCAATCCGGGCAGATGGGTTTGGATTGTGACTCATGAGCGGGAGTTAGCGTGTAGCATGATGCTTCTGTGTGAGGGGAGCGAGGAGGAAGAGGAGGAGGAGGAAGAGGAAGAGGAGGTGAAACTGTTGACCGCACTT